TTATGAAGAACTTGTATCTGTAATAACATTACTGGAAGCATTCAAAATTCCTTTTTAAAATGTAGTTTTCTATTTGGTTCATTTGGGTTTCAAAATTAACAAACTAATCGCCATTTTGGATTCAGCCATTTTGAAAATTTGTATGAAAGCGACGTGGCTTGGAGCAGAATGACAGAAAGACAAATGAAGGGTTTTATAATATTAAATTATTAAATACGCAATAATTAAGCACTGGAAAATGAATTGAAAGCATTCAAATATGCATAAATATAAAATGATCAAAATTAAATGAGGCTAAAATTCAAAATTTCCAAAAGATTCATTTAAATTGAACTTTCAAACTCGAGTTGTAAATGATAATAAGTTTGTTGGATAATGTTCTTATAACAATTTTGCAATTATTTATTTCGTGGAAATTAAAATTATACGCTTTTATTTAAATTAAAATCAAAGTCAAAATTTCCTAAGCCTTCATCAACCTTCTTATAATCATTGATTCTCTTTAACAATATTTTTTATCTCAAAGTATGAGAAATTTAAAAACTTGAATAAGCACAAAAAATTTGTATTCTTGGGCTGTTCACTAAATACGTTATTCAAAAAGATATTTTTTTAAACTGACCCCCCCCCCCCCTCCTCCCCCCTTTCTCATAAATTTTAACAAAATCTTCTGTCAAGAGAACTTTATAAGTACAAGTTCCTATAATAATTATAAAATAATATTATTATATTCCAATCAATCAATTCTTTTGTGCTTTTATAAAAATTATTTGAAAACAGCTCGAAGGTACTTAAAACATAAGGAGCTACTCTTCAATATTTTACTTTCATAAAGTCTCATTTTTTAAGTTTAAAAATTCAATTTTCATTCATCGCAATTCAGCAATAATGATTTCATCATCGAATTGAAATCTTAATTGAATTGAAGAAAAAAAGTTGGAATGAAAGAAGTCAGAACACTTAACGAAGCGCTTCTTATTACGTAGAGTTGAGTAGACTTGTTGGTTTGATTTCTAATTCAAACTACAATAAAGTTCAACTTGACTAAGTTCTGCTCTGTCAATTACCCTATCCAGAAACTGTTATATTAACAGTTTAACAACGTTCCTGATTATTAAGAGATTTTTAGGTGCTGACTTTAATTACCAATTCATATCAATGAACGATCGGATCCAATATTATGACTACCAAGCGATTAATGCCAAATATTATGACTAAAGTCAGTCAAGACAAAACAAATCTTTTCTCAGAGCCACCACCAGAAAAACAAGAATGAAATTTGAAAGTTTGTGAATAAAAAACCAAGAAGAACCTGAGAATTTCAAAGTAGTCAAACAAATGAGAAAAAACGAAGGCGATAAAAAATAAAACGCCATGAAAAAAAATCGAAAGAATCTCAAATTTTAATTCAAAAAAAAATCATCATTAAGGTAAGTTGGGAGCAGTAAAGTAGTCTCGCACGATAGAGGGGAAAATATAATTTTAATGCTACTGCCACCCCATCTAAAGACACATCAAGTGGATATTACTGATTCAAATTAATGCAAATTCAATGTACTCCCCAAAAAGTTTATATATGCGAGAGACTAAAAATAAGAATTTATAAAAAAAAAAATGAATGAGATCGAAAGATTACCTGAACAGGGAGGAATAGAAGAATAAGAAGAATTGCGTAAAAGCTTTTCAATATAATGCCATTGAGATAAGGAGAGACTTGATATATAAGTATTTTTCTTGATAAGAAGATTTTCCTTAAATTTTGTTGAAAGAAAAACATAAAGCTGATTTTTTTGGGTTCAGAATGGCTATTTATAGTTGAAATGTTTCGAAACATAGGTCTATTGCTTGTCTAACTTTTTTCTACACAAATGAGCATCTCAATATCTAAACAAAAATCGATATAACCATTCTTGGGAGGAATTCAAACAAAATGTCTTTAAAGAAATTATAATTAAGTCACAGATGCATTTATGAATATAATAATATTAAAAATAATGGCAATGTTTATAGTCAATGCTTGTAATAGACTTTCTTTTAGATGTGCAGATTAGTGTAAAGGCTGTTTCTACTTCCCTACTTTGTCTCGAAAAGGACCCTTTTAAGGATACTCTACTCGATCATTAGACCCTGGGTAGCCATAGATATCAGACCAGGTTCGAATTTTCTAGCAATCAACTGCTAAGGTCTGTTTTACAATCCTAACTGTATTCCAAAAGATGCGTTCAAATCACATTTCCTATTCGAATGTCAATCATACTTTCTTCCATGTCGTTGAAAAGAGCAACATCGACATATATTTAGACTCTTTAAAGCTTTCAAGTTCGCACTAGATGACAGTATGATGGAGAAATACGAGAGTATATAAAATATTTTGTTTTTCTTTGTTCATTCTAAAAATGAAATGAATTTTTGATGACAAAACAAAGGACCTTCGTATGACTGAAAAAGAAAATGTTCCTGGGTCGTCGATGTTGCTGCTATTGTTTGATGATTTTGATGTTTTATTGAAAGGACATTTAATTTACTGTCACACTATGTGAATGATGGTTTTTAATGATGTCAGGGCTACAGCCGTTAGGGATTTATCGGAAATACTAATTGAAACACAAAAATGCATTCAATTTATGGTCCGATTGAATGAAATGACGCGATATGAAATCATCAGTCATGCAATAAACCATGGAAACAATAAAATTGCTCACCGCCTCCCTCAAAAAGCCAATGAAATGAGTCATGAAAATCAGACAGATTGGAATGCTCCTGATACAGCATTTCCCATCGTGATATCAAAGGTACTTAATTCAAATTAAATTCCGTATCAAATCTACACATACATGCTCAGTGTGATAGGAAATCAATTCAGCAATTGCTTTTTGCTTGCTGAGCGACGGTGCGATGGTATAAAAAACCATCTCATGAATTTTATTGAGCTAATTTTGTGCTTGATTTGAGCTCAAACAAAAAAAAATATATTTCGACTAAGGTAGACGAATGAATTGAGGTAATTTTACGATGGAGGATCATTCAACGCTAAAAAAAGTCGTAAAAATATTTTGGGATTTTTCTTGTTCAGTAGACTAGCTGCTTAGCTTTCATGTTCTTATTCAAAACTTAAAATTTAAACTTTATTTGGCAGATTAGATTCAATTCAAAAAAATGCTATATGAAACATTTTTGGTCACCCTGTCAAAAATTTGTGATAGATACAAAAATCTAGACAATACAGAAAACAACATGATGGAAAATTCTCATAGATTTGGATCCAAAATTTGATATGTACTTGTTGCAATTTTCGATTAAATTTTTCCCACCGTTTTGTTACCCCCTCAATAAAAATGAAGAACATTTATTGTGATTGAAAAATCTCATTTCAGGCTGTTTAAGTGAATCGATAAGGCATATAAATTAGTAAAAATGTCTTTATTTAAAATGCAAAATTACAGCTATGATAACTTAAAATTAATCAGTATATTAATATTCACCGGTTCTTCTACAACGGAAACTTCTATAACTGTTGACACACGTTTCATTGGATCTGCACGCACTTCTCCCGTACAATGTACACTCATCAATATCTTCACATCTTCGGCTATTGGAGTTAAATAACAGGAACTGAATTTTCTGAGACTGTTTGTGATGATGATGAAGCTAATGTAGAAATAATAACATTTGACATTGTCCGAACTTTCGATGGATCTGACACAAACAATATCAATATATTTTTATTTCCAGATAGTGGTTGAAAACTAGTTTGTGATATATTTTGGACATTATCGATGCTAAATCCAAACTCAAATTTTAAGCTGGCAAGTCCACTGACAATAATCGAATGTTCAGAATTAGCATTAGCTTCTAATTTCCATGTTCCTAATTTTGGCTTTTTAACTGTCAACATTGTTAAACTTGCTAAAGTGAGAACATCAGTGCCACCAACAGAAGATCCTGAAGGATCGAAAAGCGTTAACTTTGGGCTTGTTCCAGCAACGCTGATTTTTATCTCTGAAAGACTCGTATCTACATCAAAACTTACTGATTTTGATCCAGGACTTGGAAATTCAATGAACTTCAAAACAGTATAATTTGGATTCATGTTGCCCCTTATTGACATCATAACATCCTTGATATTTGTTTTATCCATTCGATAAACTTGACCATTACTAACTTGACTTATTTTATGATAAACTTTGTATCCTTCAGATGTAATATCACTGCAATCACCTGTTAACAGGAAGTTGACAGTGATTTGTTTCTTTTGAATTAAGGTTTTAACATCTTCGTAAAGATGATAATCTTTGGCAGTTGCATCAGAAAAGAGGAAAACTATTGAGTTTGGAAGTGCAACTTCCAAACCTTTTTTAATCCTCCCAAAGCCATTTCAGGACAATCATCTCCACCAGTAATGGTTATTTTATTCATCTGACTTAATAATTCATTTGAATCTCTTGTTATTAAAGGAGTTGAAACAGCTAGTAAATAATAAAATTATTAGATTAAACTCATCGTGATTAGTAAAAAAATTCTTACCAGGATCATTAAAATCTACTAAAATGTAGTTGTAAATTGGATTGTCAGCTCTTGCTGATAATTCTTGTACAATACCTCGAGCACCTTGTTTTAATTGTTCTAAATCAGTGCCCATAGAGCCTGTGCTGTCAAAAATCAAAATTAAGCTTCGTTGATTTTGTTTTCAGGTGCTTTATTGATACATGTATCATCAAAAGATATTGATTGCAAAAAAAGTTGGGCTAAATACATATAAAATTAAAGTAAGACCACTTAAAACTTTAAACTTATTCATTTTTCACTGTTTTATTTGTTCTTGGATTTTTTTTTTAAAATATTAAATAATTTTAAATTAAATCCTCTGCAAGTTATGAGAAGAAAATGACAATTCGCTGATTAAATCCGTACATTTTATATGCAGCGTAATTATAAATGGTGAAATTATTATGATGATTTTAAGCAATCTGAAAAGATTAGATTTACTAGATTTTTCTTGTCAACGAGTTCTCCTATTTATTTTGGTATGATCTAAATACTCGAAATGTATTATAGAATTATTTGAACATGATGAAATTCAAAATGAGTTGAGCATTTCTAAATCGATTATTGGATTAAATTCAAAACTTGTAAATTAGGTAAAAATTTTAGAACATATCAGAAAAGTTTATTAAAGCTCTCGACATCGATAAGATCCAATAGAATTAATGCATATTTCATTTTTGTTACATAATTTTCTATTATTGCATTCTCGACACTCATCAGTGTCAATGCACCTATTTTGTAAATTAGCCTTGTAGCCTCTGCCACATTTTACTTGAGTTCGATTCGTTTTCCTTCGAGGATAAATGAAGCTATGCTGTGGCAAAGCAAGCCTCTCTGATCTAGTAGCTTCAATAGTCTCATCATCATCACAAGATATTTCTTCACAGCTTCGCTTTTCTTGTGGAAGTCCAATGCAATCGTTACCATTATATTTTGGTTCAGGATTATTGCAATATCTAATTCGATACTGAGTACCATGTCCGGAAACGGCAGTACATCCAGACCAATCAGACCATTTGCTCCATCCTCCATTAATTGGACAGAACTTCATTTCTTTGCAATCTTGTTGTTCTATTTCAGTTCCATCACATTTAGAACCTCCATATTGAGGTGATGGTGAATTGCATTTTCTGGTTCTTGATTGTTTTGGAATTCCTTCATTTTCAATATAACATGCAGGACAAACATTCCAAGTTGACCAAGAACTCCAGACTCCATCAACAGGACAAGCTTTAATGTCACATTCTTGTTCCTCTATTTCACTTCCTTTACATTTAAGACCACCATGTGCTGGGCTTGGAGAGTCACAAACTCTTGTTCTATTTTGTTTGGGTTTATCTGATTTTAATGAGTCATAACATTTTGGGCATTCATTCCAATCAGACCAAGAACTCCATCCACCATCTATTTGACAGGTTTCTATTTCACATTCACGTTCTTGCGTTCTATCGCCTACACAATTCAGACCACCATAAGCAGGTTCAGGTGAGTCACAGCTTCTATTTCTGTTTTGTTTTGGTTTTTCAGTAATAAGCACGTCATAACATGCAGGACATTCACTCCAGTCAGACCAAGAACTAAAGCCACCATTAATTGGACATGGAAACTCATTACATTTCCTGATTTGAAGAGTATCTCCGGTACAGTTGTAGGATGGAATTTCATCAAGTAATATGCAAGTTCTAGTACGATATTCAGTTCCATTTGTCCCACAAAATTCACTGCATTCTGACCATTTTGACCAAAGAGAATATTGGATTGGAATATCAATTTTAATATTGAAACTTTTTTGTACTTGTCCAAATCTATTAAAACTAATGCATGTGAACTTTCCTGTAGAGACAAAATAGTTAAGATTATGACATGATTATGAGAATTTCTCGTACCTTCACTGTTCCTATTTGTATTGATTATTCTTAAAACTTGATCGTCTGATGATAAATATCGTCCATTACCGAAATCCGTTATGTTCTTTGAGTTCTGTGGTAGGAATTGGGATTAATTGTAGTAATAAAAAGTCAATAAATAAACTTACAAATGACCAGTAGGTCTGTGGTTCAGGAAATCCATCAACTTTGCATTCCATTATCAATTTATGATGAAGCTTAACTATCAAGTCTACATCAGAGCTTTTGTTGTCAATAAATGCAGGTGGATAAAAAACATTTAAGACAAAGGTTTTTTGAATGAAGCCAACAGAGTTGTTTGCATAACATTGGTAAATTTCGTTTCCTTCAATTGATTGGACGGTCTAAAATATGAGCAAAATTAGTATTAACTACTAGTATTAATTACTAAAGACCAGTGCTTCTCAAACTTTTAAAGTTCATTCACTGTGCTGACTTACAAAGATACTTGATTCCTCGTCCAACAGTATTCTTTCATTGGAAGATCCAAAATTGTTCAATTTAATCCAATGAATTTTAGCTTTTGGTGATGATTCAACTGAACATTCTAAAATCACATCTTCGCCTCGAATTGCTTCTATTGTTTCTATATTTTCAGGCATAAAATCTTCGTTCGATGAATCAGATATCTTTGGAGAAGTCATAATTCTTGGAGGTGACAAAATAAGGACATCAAATGTCAATTGCATCGTTCCAATTTTATTTTTGCCAACACATGAGTAGTTTCCAGTAAGCCAAAATACCGCCTCTGGGATATTTAGTATTTTTCCATCATTTACAATCTTCAGAGTCTGATTATCAAAAATTTGAATGCCATCTTTATACCAAAATACATCTGGAACTGGATATCCATCAAACATGCATGTCAATTGTAATGGTAAATGCTCTAAAACTTTGTATTCAGTTAGCTTTGGCATGTCCTTTTCTTCAATGTATGGTTCTTGGTTATAAACTGTTTCGACAGACTTCTCATCCTGACCCAAAGCATTAAAAGCATTGCAATAGAATTTTTTCAGATGCAAATTGTCTTTATTGTTCCTAATCAGCAGATCAAGCTGTAAAGATTTTTTATCAGTTTTTATGAGCTTCGAATAATGATCTCTGCTAGAAATATTCAGTGCAGATGGATCTGAGTAGCTGATTTCGTTTCCATTTCCATCAAAATACAAAAAGCTGTCATCAGTTCCATTAAGAACTTCATTTATCTTTAAATTAGATGTTGTAGACAAAACTTTTCCATTCAATATCCAAGAAATGACTGGAAGAGGATATCCGTCAGTTACGCAACTTATTGTGACAAATTCGTCATCTCTTTGAGCTTTTTCTTGTTCGAATACTTCCAAAATTTGAGCAGGCTCATTTAGAGTGAGATCAAAATTAATATTATGCTTCCCATATTTATTTCTAGCTAAGCAACGATAACTGCCTTCATCAAATAGCTTTACTCCTTCAATAATTAAAAAGTTCTCAATTTCATCTTCCAAAAGTTCACTGGAAAATTAAGTTAAAGTTTAAAATTTGGTTACGTTCAAGCATAAATTCTCCTTACTCTTCTTTGTACCAACTAAAAAGAGGTTCAGGATTTCCAATAATTGGACATTTAATCGTCACACTTTCACCTGACGCTCCATAGACATTATTCACTACTTTAGCTGATTCATTGACATGTGGACTAGATAAGATATCGACTTTGAAGTATTTCTTAACTATTCCGTGCTTATTTTCAGATAAACAGGAGTAAATGTCACTAAAAATAATTATTTAAGTATTACTTAAGGTTTGAATCTGCGTTGTAGTGTTGTAGATAATCAAGATTAGGGTGAAACAACGTGATCAGAATTTAAGATAAAATATTTTCCCATCAAGTTGTTTCCCCCTCAAATCAAGACTAATCTCACCTGTGGAATAGCTGCAAATTATCAACTGACAAGACTTCTCCTCTTCCAATCAAAACACTTCCTTTTCTCCATTCAACATTCGGCACTGGATATCCATCAACTGTACAGTTCAGAACTAAATTTTCTCCTTTCCAGAAAACTTTCTGATCAATATCTGCATCATTTTTGTCGAAATCAACAGTGCTGCTGTTAAAGTTCCAACTAGCTAAGACTATTGGTGGCGATAAGACAACAACTTTATATGAAAAGTTGGTAGCATTTTTTGTGTGATATGCAGAACAAGTCCATAGACCAGAATTTGATTTCTTCATGTTGTAAATAATTAATTTCTTGCCAGCTTGTTTAAAATCTGGAACCTTAAATGGAGATCCATTATGCGTCCATTTAATAATGGTATAATTTTCAACTGGACATAAAAGTTCTAAGTCATCTCCTTCTCGAATTGTAAAATTAGTTTGAAGCTCATGTGCAAGATCATGTAATTTTGGGATGTTAATGATCTCAAGATAAAAATAACTTTCAGCAATTCCTTCGGAATTTTCAGCAATGCAAGATATTTTGCCACTTTCAAAATATGTATCTAAATTAATAAAATTCTCACTGCTAAGTAGTTCCTTATTGTTTAACTTCCATTTATAGTTTGGTTCTGGAATTCCCTCAGCCAAGCAGTTCAGTTGTTTTGTTTGATTTGGGTAAAGTGTGATATTGTTGAAAATAGATGATATTAAAGGCTTTTGTATTACTGAGACATAGAATATTTTCTCAACTAATCTGACTTCATTTTCTGCATAGCAGTGATAACTTCCAGCATCTGATTGGGCAACAGCTTCAATGGTTAATGTTGATTCAGTTGAAATTTCTATATTATTTTTAACAAATTTAATTTGAGGGACTGGATATCCAGTTGAATCACATGAAAGCTTGAGTTGTGTGTTGATCTCAACTTTGACTAGCTCGTCGTTTGGTGATAAGATTCTTGGAAAGCCTAGAAAAGAGATAATTGTTTAATGATGATCAATCTGGTGTCTTAACAGAGTTGAATGTGGGATTTCAAGTCATACTTAGTTGAATAGTTGAACAGTAAGGGCTCTGTAGCCGAGTGATTAAGAAACAGAACGAATGTTCCTCATTCGTTAAAATGAGGATTCGCTTAGTTATTTAAATCTTTAATAATCTTCAGAATACTTACTTTTTACTGTAACTGTAAAATCAACTTCAGCACTTCCAAATTCGTTCATTCCTTTACATTTATACAATCCACTATCATCAGAATCAGCAAATAACCTCAATGTATTTCCACTTATATTATACTTCTCACTTTCTTTAATTTGCTTAGAATTTAAATACCAAGATATTTCAGGAACTGGCTTTCCAATCAGCTCACAGTTGAGCTCAGTTTCTTCATTCTCAGTAACTGTAATTTCAATGTTCGCTTCACTTTTCCTTTTTGGTATGAAGTTGACATCCATTTGAATAGTTCTTCGAACTGTCCGAACTATATTTTCAGTCACACACTCAAATTCTCCTTCGTTATATAAAGTTGCATTGGTAATCTTAAGAATTGAATCATCAGATAACTTCTGATTATCATTAAACCAAGATATTTTAGGCGGTGGATGGCCTGTTCCTAAACATTCAATAATTATGTCTTCTCCTTCTAGAATATTCAATCTTCCATTGATTTCTTTCTCATTTTTCCCTTTGACTAAAATCTTCTCTATTTTCGGAGCTGTTTGAATTTTAACATTGATTGTGACTTTATCTTCACCTAATGAGTTTGAAATTTGACATTGATAACTACCAGAATCGGATTCATCTGTATTATTAAAAACAATAAAAGTTCTGAAGTAGTTTTCTTTCTCGTTCTGACCCATTTGGATTTCGTAATTTCTAGAGTTATTGAAGATCCAGGAATAATTTGTAACCGGTAGACAATTCTTACATTCACAAATTATTTTTGCATTTTCTGTTTCATTTAGAACAACATCTTTAACAGGCATGATTTTTGGGGATTCTAGAAGTTTACTTTGAATTAATTTAAGATAATTTGAAATTGTCTTAAAATTACCTTTTGGTGTTAAGGAAATTGTAAAATTTCTACTGATTTCTCCAAGTTCATTTCCTATTAAACACTCATAAATCCCTTCATCCTTTTCAAAAGCTTCTTGCACTTCAAATATACTTTCATTCTTTCCATCAATAACTATTGATTTTGTTGAACTATTTGATCTGAAATTCCATGTCAGCAAACTCTTCGGAGGATTTTCAGTCGATGAGCAGTCAAATCTAACTTTAGATCCATAAGTGATGACATTTTTAGTTGATCCCGTCAAAAATCTTGGAGCATAATTTATATTTAAAGTTATTAAACTATCAACTGTGAAATCATCGCAATATGCTTGACATTTGATCACTTTGTTGTTATCTTCAGCGATTGGAACGAATGAATATGTATTTCTACCCTAGAAAAGATTCCAAATTCAGTTTAAAAATTATTAGAAATAATTCAAAAAGTTTACATTGTGCACTAAACTTCCATCTTCCGAAAACCATGAATATTCAATTTCTTGTTCTTTGATAGTGCCATTAAGTTGACATGTCAATATATAACTTGAGTTTTCTATCATTTTACTGGATGAGCTAGATATTTCTAATTTAGGCTTCTTGATGATGACTACACGAACTTCTTCAGTTTCACAACCAACTTCGTTGACAGCAACGCATTTGTAAGTTCCTCTTTGTTCGTAAGTGATGTTTTTAATGTTTAGGATGCGTTCATTCCTTTGACTGGAATTGAATTAAATGAAAATAGGTTGAGTATGATCATTGATGATAATGTGACAACTACTAACATTGGATGAAGACTTTCTAATATTCCTCCATTAAATGTCCATTCTATATTAGCTGGAACTAAGGATTTTACGTTGCATTGCATTGTCAAATTTTGTTCCTCATAAAACTCTAAGTTTTCAACTTCAATCATAACTTCAGGTGCAGCTTTAACAGAAAACAAATTAGATTTTAACTTAAAGAATTCTAGCAAAACCTACTTCCAGCATCTTCGTATAAAATTGAAGAAATTGTCCTTAAAATTCCTTGTCTATTTACATCTTCTCCTTCCAGAAATATTTTGAATGGATTTTTCGGCAGTTCAAATGGATCTGTTGTGTACAATTCTTCACTTTGTCTATTCAAATTATACCAAACTTCTGTTGCACTTTCTGATTCATCCATAGGAGCAACAAGCAATGAAACTTTCGACAATTGATCAATTTGTGAAGGATCAGGAACGAAAATTGATAAAATATTTTCAACTTCACTGATAGGTTGAGGAACTGTCTCTGATTTATCATCAACGATATCTATGCTGAATCCAAAATCAAATTCTAAATCGCTCATCACGCTGATTATAACAAAATTATCTTTGGCGCCAAATTTCCATGAACCTTTCTTTGGGTCTTCAAAGTACAAGATTTTAATGCCGTCCGTAGTGAAATTTCGTTTAGCCAGAGCAACTTTATTATCTGGATTTGTAATTTCAAAATGTTGATCTCTTCCAGCCATAGTAATTTTAAGTTCTGTTACTGAATCATCAACATCAAAGTTAAAATTAATTCTTTTATCACTTTCAGATGTGATTATCTTCAATAATTTGTGTTTTGAATTTATTTCTTCCTTTATATTCTTTAGAATATCATTGAAATTGTCTTTTTGAATCTCATAAGTCAATCCATTGACAAGATTACTAATTTTAGTAAACACTTTGTATCTATCATCGCTGTAATCACGTTTTCCACAACTATCAGATATTATAAAATTAACTGTGATCTGCTTGTTCAAAATTATAGCCGAGATATTGCTGTACATCTCAAAATCGTTGGCTGGAGCATCAGTAAATAAGTAAACAATTGAATTTGGAAGTGAACCATCTAAACCAGCTTTTAATCCAGACAATGCATTTTCTGGACAGTCAAAATTCGCACTTGAGACAACTTCAACCTTTTTTAATTCCTCAACAATTTCATTCACATTTTCAGTGATGAATGGCGCGCTTACGTCTACAAATGAATGAAATAATTAGAAAAGTGAGTAAGCAGAGACTTTATGACACACACAATGTGAAATGCAGATAAGAATTAATTAAATCTCTTCCAAAAGTCATTATTTGATTTAAACATAAACACATTAATTATGGTGAAATTGGTGTTAAATGTGTGTGTTGAATAACTTAATTTAAATCAAAGACTTACCAGGATCACTAAAAGTTACCAAGATGTAGTTGAATATTTTATTGTCACCTCGTGAGGAACATTCTTTCACAATTTCTTGAGCACCTTTTTTAAATTCTTCCAAACTTTTTTGCATGGATCCTGAAAAGCAACTTATTAATTACTATATAAGTTGAGAGCACTTAATGTCACCTGTTGCATCGAAAATAAATACAAGACTTCTTTGGTCAGCACTTAGAAGAATTGATTTTTCCGGATGATTGATTTTAATGCTTGGAGATTTTTTAATACATGCATCTGTCATATTAGCAGTTTCAGCTACTCCAAAAATTCCCAGAATTATTCCTAATAAACTTATTAACTTTAAAGAAATCATTTTCGTTGTTTTTGACAGTCTTTTAAGCTCCTACAAATTCATTAAATGAACACAATTTTTGAATCAGTTCTAAAAATATATTCTCATTACAATTTTGGGATTTCGTACAGCAGAATTAAAATATGAACCGATCGCTTTGAATTAAGACTTTAAACTGACTGCACTCAATAAATCATGAAACTTTTGAGGCATAAGAAATTATTAATCTCTGAGAGTCGATGATAATCTATTATTATTCAAAGTTTATGTGCAAATTCTTCATGAACTCTCTTCATAGTCATTCAGGATCGTGTTCTTCAAAATGTTCTTATTTTCATTAATTTATTATTGTTGGGGAACATAAAAATATTAAATTTATATTTAAATATTCTACAAAAAGAATAAAAAGTATGAAATTGGTATGAAATTGCTGTTATATCCCGTGACAGAAGCCTTGTAGTGAATCTTACAAAGCAGACATTACGAACCAATAAATGGAACCAATAAATGGAATAATCATCATCATCATCATAATAAAACAATCTGAAATAAACAATGAAATTTTAATATGAAATAATACTATTGAATATAAAGCTTCAAAGAACTAGCCCCACACATTTTATTTCTTGAATAAAAATAACTGATAATCTTGGGAAAGTACGCTACAGAAATCACAGAAGCTTACGTCATTTTATTACTATATGATCGTTCGGAATCACCTAAATGTTTTCATATCAGCTGCAGAATTTCAAAAATTTAATAAACTTTATTTATAATTAATAAACACATAGCATTGCACAATGTTGTACTAATCTTTAGGATTTTATCAAGGCACAAACACTCGAGGTTAATAACAAAAATCCCAAATAAATCGAATTGAACTTGATGGGTAATTGACAGATATCAAGTTGGAATCATAGATTGTTCACAGGAAATGCTTGATATTTTAGGGATTTTTTGGATTAATCCTGAGTGTAAAATTCTCGGATTTTATCAATTTTATAAAAAATTTAAGTTTGAAAACATTGGCAACTCCTGTAAACATTTACCAAGGGTCAGACACTCCACCAGAATTGAAAAGATTGTACAATTCTTCACAATCCATATGGAAGAATTGTAAAGATTGTACAATCCTTAAAATCTTTATATGAGAAGGATTGTAGGGATTGTAATCCGTACAATCTTTATATGGAAAGGATTGTAGGGATTGTAATTCTTACAATCCTTTCCATATAAAGATTGTAAGGATGAAATAAATGTATGGAACATTTAAAAATGTTTTTCATTGGTTATTAGAGAAGAAATATTAATTTAATATTAAAAATTTATTTGTTTGAATTTAAAGAACGAAATAAACTTGATATATCAATTCTGTCCGTTGTAAAACTACGCAGATGGTCACCCTAAACCAGGGTGATTTAAATCAAAAATCAAATTCAAAACCTTTTTGCAATGATATTAAAAAAAGGATTTTGATTTAAATCATTTTTTCAAAGGGATTTTTTTAGATTTTGATATAAATCTCTTGCATGAAAGATTTTATTGGGATTTTAAAATCCCTCCATGTAAGATTTTTGTTTTCAATTTCTCAAATTATTTTTCAAATCAACAGTTTTCAGTTGCAGTTCCTAATAAGTAAGAATGCAGTTGATCCTTTTTTGGCCTGAATCTTGCAACTGGATCTTTTAGATCCAAATATTTCTTAATTAATGGTTACAGCAATGGTTCCATGCTGTTTGACTTAAACGAAATCTAATCTGTGATTTTTAATCTTCTGTGCCTTGCTGCTTGCATATAAATAACTGGACTTCATCAAGCATGCCTGGATCTTACTTCATATGAGGATTTACCTGCTTTAAATCCTTTAAAAAACTTAAATATATTTTATTACACCACATTAGTTTAATGAGTCATAAGCAAGAATAGGCACTTGAACTGCCTAGTTCCTTTACATCCACAAAAAATTTTTTTTGTTGCTTTTTCATCAAGGATTCACCTCTTCTGGATTTCGTTTCAGTCAAACAGCATGGAACCATTGGTTGCTGTAACCTTTCTTTAAGAACTGCTTGGATCTAAAAGATCCAGTTGCAAGATTCTGGCCAAAAAATGATCAACTGCATTCTTACTTTAGAAACTGCAACTGAAAACTGTTGATTTGAAAAATAATTTGAGAAATTGAATACAAAAATTTTACATCGATGGATTTTTAAATTCCAATAAAATCTTCCATACAATAGATTTAAATCAAAATCCCCAAAAAAAAAAAATCCCCATACAAAAATGATTTAAATCAAAATCTCTTTTAAAAATCATTGCAAAAAGATTTTGATTTTGATTTTTGATTTAAATCACTCACCCTGTTCACAATTATACTTTTTACAACTTTTTAATGAGTTGAAATGTATAAAAAATCATTCGAATTGATTCACGGTAAATTATTGCATTTTAAATATAATTGTACAATCCTTACAATTCTGTTGGAGTGTCTGACCCTTGACATTTACACATTTTTCATTTCTTTTACAAAGATTTGTAAATTCTCTGCATTCATTTATGTCTTCACAACGTCTACTGAATTGGTTCAATCTTAATCCATGTTCACAATTTGTTTCTGACTTCAGTGCAATGTGTTCTTAATATTTGTCAAGATCGTTAAGGCTGTTATTGAAATTAATTGCAGATGTCAGATCAATTTTCTTCATAAAAACATTTACTGTTAAGCCATTAGAGTATGGTTTGCTAGCTTCTGTTATTATTGATTTAATCGATGTAGTTGATACTTCACAAAGTATTTTCTGCTGTGTCATCCTTAATGAATAAATAGCATTTAATATATGAATGAATATTTTTTAATTTTATTTTCTTTAAATTCAGGACTTCAAATTAATTGTAAGACTGATGCTCTCAAGTGCACAAATTCAACTAAAAGTAATGAATTGTTGATGTGCTATTTATCCTAAGAATCTTACTTGTTATCAAATGATAATAAATGAACAGAATTATTTTTCTCAATCGTTTAATGTCGTCTATCGAAAAACGAGATATATAGAACTCCTTTCACATTCTCTATCCGAAACTAGTCCTTGAAAATTTTGTGAAATTATCTGAAAAACCAACTGTAATATCGTGATCATTGTACGAGTTCTTGTCATCCTTGAGAGATGTCGTTCTCTAGTGGGAATCGAACCCGCATCCTCACAAAAGAGGGTCACATATATCCGGGATATTGCTTAACCTTTCGCACTGGCAGATTCACCTATTTATGGCTTGATACCCCAGATTTTACTCATAAAAAGAATTGACTTTATAGTATCATTATACTTTTCTACGTGCTCAACATAATTTTTAACATAAATGTATGAAACTTTAAAATGAACCAAAATTTTATAGAAAAAAAAAATGTTTTTTGTCACCCTGTTACTGACAAACCTAGAAAGGAAGAAAGTAGAAAAGTTTGAGTGTATTAGGTTTTCAAAAAACAAATTGAGTATAACCAGAAGGAAAGTTTGAGAAGCTTACAGTCTTAAGGATTAAAGTTTCAAACTACTTTTGAAGAATCATTTGAGAAAACTCGACAAATCGCAAAACAAACGAAACATTCAATAAAATTTCAGCAAAATCAACAACAATAACAATCAGATCTGAAAAAAAAGTATAATTCTGAAATTAAAATCTGAAATAATTTTTTAAATAAAACAAGACTTTTTTTTTGTTTCAAAATTCAAAATATTGTTTATGGTGATACAATGACTTAATTAACTTATTGATCATTCTTAACTGCTCAATTATTTTTTTTTGAATGAAATTTTTAGTTTTTTTTCTTCTTCTTCCTTCCTTCATTTGTTTTACCATTGATATAAATTTTTCATCATTTTTACTAAAAAATACCAACATAAAACAAGAAGCTCACAATGTCACAAAATGAACTAGCAAAAAGTCACAATTTTTTTCCATTATCATCATCGTTATAGTATTATCCCTTATTATTCGAAACCGAAATTTCATTCAAAAATTTTTTTTTCATTTTTTTAATATGTAACGTTCTTTTTCGCAATAATAAATTCACAATTTTTTTTGTTTACTCTTTGTCTATAGTTCCATTATTCTCATAATTTAGTCTGTTTGTGTCATTTACCATTCTTGCGTAAAAAGAATGTAATTCACTTATTTTGTTTTTTTTTTCTTTTTTAAAAAAAAAAATCATTTCACTTTTTTATTTGCTCACAATAATTTTTCTTCTCAAATATATGTTTTGTATGTAGGTATGTGTTTTTTTGTTTTTGTATATATATCATTTTTCTTGAGAACCTAAAATACTCTTAAATGTTTTTTTTTTGCTCAGAATTGATTTGATTTCGTTCTTTATTTTATTCTTCTTTGTCATATCATTCGATTACTTTTTTTACTATTTTTTTTGCTTTTGTTTTTTGAACGTTTTTTTAAGATTTTTTTTTTGTGAGTGTTTTTGAATTTTTCAACAGATTTTTAAATTTCAGTACAGTATTTTCATGATACGGCAAAATTAAAATAGTATAAGTTTCATAATATTAAGAGAACGAAGGCTGATCTCTTTAAATTGCACTAACTTTTATTCCTAGACGTCAGCATGTGGTTCCTAACATGGTTGAATGGAATTCCTATCGTTTTTTTTTTCTTTTTTTGGGGTTGAAAATAAATTTGTATAATTGCTTGATTCTTTGCCTCATAAGTCACTTACTTCTGTCTTTTTGAATTATATTTTAATTATACTTTATTTTTTTTTAAAAATTATTATTTATTTGGATAGGAAAATGATTCAAGTTGTTAGGATAAAATTATCACTATTGGTGTAGGAGTAAAAGTCGATGGTTCAAAGATAAACCAACCCCTGATTTTGTTTATTTAATTTCATGTGCATTTCATTATAAGAACTGGGTCTAGAAGTCTTGAATTTTGAATTACAGTTCATTAACTAGATTTTGTTTTCTTCATAAAGCAATTTTTTGAGTTTTTTTTTTAATTATAGTATTTTTATTCTCATTGATATCAATTTGTTTTGAGGACGAAAAAATCATAATAAAGGTGATCATGTCTTAATATAAAATATTATTCATAATAGTTAAAATATAATAAAATTAATAATATTAAAAAAGGACTTGTAATTAGTTTACAATCTTTTTCAATAAAACAATAAAACGGAAATCATATTATGCGTCTTAAAACTTAAGTTTATCATTTCTGAAGTGAGTGTGTTTCTTCTTCTTTCTACTTTCATTCTTTTTAATGATAATTTATGATGTTTCTTTTTTTTTGATATTGCATTAAACGTTTTTAATTATACTCTCAAATAATAGAAAATTAAAAACACATTGTAGCAGTTATAGTCATGGGCAAAATACTGTAAAGTATTCTGTTTTGGCCTTTTACCAGTTTATAGCTGCAAAATAAATAAGAAACAATTAGTTCATTCATCAAATATTGATATATCCAATGATTATTCTATTCCATACCTGAATTAGATGGTGGCCAATCAGATCCCCATGTTGAAGTAGTATCTGATCCAGTACGCCCTTGCTGACTGTTTGGACGCCATGTTGAAGAGTTTTGATTAGCTCCAACTGCAGTAGAGCCACCACCATTACCATTTCCATTGTTGGATGGAACACCCAAGTGACTTAAAATATTTTGAACTTCACTCTCACTTGGCGATTCAGCACAAATGGTTGTGTTGCTTAAGACACAATTATTCAGTGCTTGTTGAGCTTTGCTAGCCTCTTCACGTGTATTGTATTTGCACAAAGCTATGCCATGATTCAAATACAAATGGAAATGTTGCAATGGTCCATGCTGAACGCACAATGTACGTAATGTAGATCCATCTATTTGAGCAGTTAAGTTTTTAAGAAGTAACCATGTTGAATATCCATTCCATTGACCATTAGAACTGTTGCTTGGATTAGATGCATTCCATCCTCCCATCCAGTCATTTGGTTCACTTGTAACAGCAGTTGAACTGCCATTCTTTGCATTACCAGCACCAAGACCCGGAGGTGGACCAGATGTTTTACCTAATGTTGGTGCAGCCCACAAATCCGAAGTTGAATCAGACCAACTATTGGTCTTTGGTTCCGCACCACCCAATTTAGACATTGTGCTGTTGAAGTTTTGTTGCGTTGTAGTGGATGGATTAAAGCTCCATGTGGAAGACGATAGTATCTCATTGGGGGACGTTTTTGCTGTATTTGATGCAAATAATTCGGAATCTTTTGTGGCACCAATTGATAATGGATTTCTGGCTACACTACCTGGAGTTATCGAAGGATCATCTTCGATATTCTTTTGTGTACCCTAAATAATTTATTGTACACATTTTATTAAGTAAAGGAACAAGAACAAGAAAAAATGTTGCAAAATCACTTACCTTCCATGGCTTTCCTGGCTGGAATTCTGGAACTAAGTCAGTGAAAGCAGGCGATTGATTGCTTGATGGCCAATCTTTATTTTCGGAATCAATTGAACTGTCGGGCCAACCACCATCATTACGACCTGAAGACCAAGTACTTGGTTCGTTGTGTAAGCCAATTGAGCTAATGGAAGTTGGAGTTGTTGGTGGGAGAGATTGCTTTGATGATGTTGTGCCTGGAGCACGCGAGAAATCGGGATCAGTTGATTTATTATCTTTTATCCATTGGTTTAAACGTGATTGCTGACTAGTGTTGTTACTTGTATAAGGAGTTGGATCTTGCTTTAATCCTAAGTTACTCAAATTAGTTTCAAGTGATGCAATTGGATCATTGTGATTTCCGACACCCATTCCCATATTTCCTGAACTATTTTGACGAAGAAAATCGTTACCAGAACCGATTCCACCACCATTACCACCACCACCTGCTTGACTCTTAATATAAAGCGCTTGTTGTTGAGCTATTTGAGATTGCAATGTTGATATTTGTTGCTTTTGCTTTTGAATTGTCATTTGTAATTGAATGCTGTTTACGCCTCCATTGCGTTGAATGCTTTGTTGTGTCATTTGTAATTGTTGAATTGCATTTAATAATGAGTTGAGTAATTGCAAAGTTTGAGGAGCTAATGGTTGATTTAAGATTTGATGGTTCAAATAACCAGCTTGTACGGCTTTTTGAATCTGCTGTACTAAGTTTCTTAAGTGATGAGCCGAAGGCTGACCACTTTGACTAGCTGACACAGCTTGTTGAGAAAATGCTGTCGGTGCGCCACCTTGATGTGGTAAATGCTTATTAAATTGCATTGGTAAATTGTTCAATCCAATGTTAGCACCAGGTCCTGTATTGGTATTTGGCATTTGTGGATTATTGTTCGGTGGGAATGGCATTTTTGGACCTGGATAGCGATTTCCTGGGAATGGTGAATGATCAAACGTTCCTGGAGCAGCATTATGATGCCATGGCTCAATATTGGCATTTCTTTGCTGCTGTTGTAACAACTCCATTGCTTCCTCAACATTCATATTTGTTGTTCGCAATGCGAGCTCAGCATCATCCTTCTTAAAGCCACTCTCGGCCAATATACGGAATTGTTTAGAGCTTCTTATAATTTCACTTGATGTATTGCTCAATTTGTTAGCTTGTGGCCAATCGCTATTGATATCACTGCTATCGGGCCATGATGGCTTATTCTTATTCCATAATGGACCAGCATTTGGTCCCTCATTCCATGGCGTTCCGATTCCTCCAGCACCAAGATGAGCAGGCTTATCATCCCAATTCGGTGTATGTGGATCATCCCAAGTATTTCTGTTTCCTGCTCCCGGATGAAGTGAACCCCATGTATTTGCTAAAATTATCAATAAAAATTTTAACCTCAAAAATTATAAAACAAATTTTTTTTAAATTTACCTTCGCCGGGTTTCATTCCAGCATTAGGAAGGCGATTTGGTGGAATACCAGTTGGTGGTGCAGCTGTATTTCCAATAGGATTTCTTCCAAAGTTATTACGAGCCATTGGATCTTGAATTCCACCCCCATTACCCCCTCCAGGAACACGACTTTGACCCCATAATGAAGTTCCATCGTCAAAGTTTCCTGCACCAAGTGGTCTACGAGAGGCAGGTGGTGATGAATCCCATCCAGATGGTTTATTAATCTCGAGATCTTTTGGACCTTGCATGCCAGGCCATTGTGGATTATTTCCTGAATTAGTAGCACCAGCATTTGGACCAACAGTTTTGTTAATTCCAGGCATACCAGGCATTCCACCTTGTTGCCACATTTCGGATGTAGCTCCGTTTAAGCGTCCAGTAACTCCCCTCAAATTGCCTTGCATTTGATCACGAGCATCCATCATTCTCATATCTAATGTTCCAGGCGTTCTTGGATCTATGTTACGAATATCCATTTGATTGGAAGCAGCTGTTGGACCACGAGGATCCCAATTGGAAGAGCCACCACCACCAACAGCATTAGTACTCCAATCATCTTTCTTTGGAACGTTTACATTAACTCCTCCACTACCTACACCTACAAGATAAAAATAAATAAATAATCATTAGATTCAGATTATCATAATAATTTAAGTATAAAATAATTACCTTGAGCAGCTGGCCACATTGTGCCACTATTAGTTGCAGATGTGTTTTGATTTTGATTCCAACTGGGAGCTGGTTGATTATTTTGGCTTGCATTCCACACACTATTATTTTCTGTATTGTCATCGTCCTCTTCGCCCCATGTTCCTCCGATATTTGTTGTCGGTGTATGATTCCATGGTGTTTTTTGGACAGGTTGTGGTGGAGGTTGACCACCGTTACGCAAATTTGCTTCCCATAATTCAGTGCCATTATTGACAGTATGACTTTTCCATTGAGTTGCACCGCCAGCCGTTGCGGCTTGATCACCTCTAGGGCCGGGTTCTGGAGATCCGGGAACATCCCAATTTGTGTCTTGATTAACGTTTTGACATCCCCAACCATCTTGAGAAAAGAGAGCTTCACGCATTGAATTTAATTGTTCTAATTGATTCTTTGCTGCAACTGCAGAAGTTCCTCCTCCAACGATTCCTGCTCCATTTCCTGAAGGTGGTACTTGTAGTGGCTGTCCAACTCCAACTTGATTTGGAATTGGTGGTTGATTCCAACCACCAGATGGAGTTAAAGGCTTTTGTGCACTGGCTTGAGGTGGCTGACCAACAGGAGGATTTTGTTGTTGTGGAACTTGTTGAGACGGTTGTTGAGCAGATGATTGACCTACACCGCCTCCAGCTTGTTGTGCTGCTTGATTCCAACTTTGTTGTGGCGGTTGTTGTGCTGATGCACCCCATTGTGCAGCATTTGGATTACTTGATGTAGTGGTATTTGATGGTGGAGAACCCCATCCACTTGCACCGCTTAAGGAATCACCCGCACCACCACACAATCGCATTCTTCGTCCACTCATAGCTTTATATTGTTTTATCAACGATTTCTCACGTTGTTGGCACTCAATCAACATGTCAATTTGTGTCATTGCTTGATATTTGCTTGTGGTGGCATTTCCATTCGTTTTCTTTTCGGTGGTAATTTCATTTGCTGATTTTCTCATCATCGTCATTGTATTTTTTTCATATTTATTATTGTAGTTTGTTGTATCCTTAAATCTAGTTTCATCATTATCCTTACGAATTTGGTCATTAATCTTATAATTATTATTATGTTTATCATTATCAGTATTACTAATAATATTATAATTCAGGTAATTGAAATCACATGTAATATTCACAGTATTATCAATTAATGTTTCATTCTTATCATTTATATGGCTGAATAATAATTCACTGATATTCATACGGTCATAATCAGCATCTGGCATGTGAATTGCTGCATTATTTTCTTCTGCTGCTGCTACCTCCGTCATCACCTTAACTGGTTCAATGTGCTTATCATTAGCTCCATCATCATCATCATCATCATCATCATTAACTAATTTAATATTGTTACAGCTAATATTGGATACAATCCCTGATTGTTGATCAGACTCTTTATACGATTGTAACGATTTTTGACAATTTAATTGCATTTCAACATTTGATATCATCTTTATATAGCCTGCATCGTCTTTATCGTCGTAGAAATAATTGCGGATGTACGATTGAATGAATGATTTATTCTTGATCATCATCGGATACAATAACTGCATGAAGAATGAGAAGAAGTTAGAAGATAAGAAGAGCTTTGATGTAGATTCCATCATCGTCATTGACTTAAGACTAAAAATTTCCTTATCATTAGCTACATAAAACTTTTTATCATTATTAAGTGTTTTCTCAAAAGCGTATTCAGACTTGTTCGTGTTGGATTGAGAAGAAATAGAAGATTTTTCATTACTTAATCTTATTTTAATTATTATTATTTTCATGATTTTGCCATCATTATAATCATCATCATCATCATCATTATCATCATCTTTTTCATCAGTAACAATAAAGCTTTTAATATGAGATTGCAGCTTATTTATTTCCATCATAAACATTCTCATGATGCTGCTATTCATAATATTCTTATTAATAATTTGCATAATGTCAAATTTTTGGGATAAAAATACACTCACATTAAATATTATTTCATAATATTCATCACAATAATAAGAAAAATTGATGTTTTCAGTGTTAATTTCAATTTTACAATTATTGGTAAGCTTCTTATTGTTGCTGTTCTGAATTATTCTTTTATCATTATCATTAAGAACTATGTGTAATATTGCCATCATTGTTTGTTTCATCAAATAAATATTATCATAATTAATTTTATTATCTTTATCATTTAAAACACTGTCAATAGCAACAGCACCATCAATGTCAATATCACACCAACCGGCAGTAGCCAATATGCGGCCAAATTTGAGCAATGGAATGTTCATATTGACCAATGTTGGTTGTTGTGACAAAACCGTTATGATTTTTAAAATTTTTGACTTTAATTCTTCATCGGCGTTTAAATCGTCAATGGCCACAATGTCATACGCAGTGAAATCTTCATCATTATCATTGTTAATATCCATCATCAGTAAAATTTTTTCATCAACAAACATCAACACATTAAACTTCTCCATCATCATTGAATTATTAGCGTCATCAATATTGTTATCATTATTATTATTAGTATTATTATTTCTAAAAGTATCATCATTATTATTCTGTTGATTCATTTCATTAATTAAAAGGACATCAAAATATTTAGAAAAATTATTTAACATTTGTGTTTGATTATTTATCTCCTGATTCATGCATCCAAACGTTTTGTAATCAACATTTATATGATGTTGTCTTACATCTAAATCACTTATCTGATTAAACATCGTCATATTTGGAAAAGCACCAATTGAATATTGTTTCATCAACTTCATTCTAGTTATTTCGTTAATTTTTGTTGCAATTATAATTAATGTGGCCATTTCTTTCTCAAAATAAATTCTTAAATTCGGAAAAATCTTTAAAGACTTTTCTTATTCTGTCTGATATTCAGATAGATCACTGATCTTACTATGAAAATTAATGAGTAGAAAATATTAAAAACAAAGGAATTCAATTCTTAAAAAATATGTAAAGTTAAAAAGTTTTTAATTAATTAATAATTATTATTATATAATAAGAGACCGTTTTTATGCAGCTTGGCAAAAAATGTACTATATATTATTGATTAGGTAGTAAAAAATTGTATTTCACACGAGAAAATCAAATATGACTTAAAAATTATAGAGATAAATCAACGTTTCTTTTCAGCTATCAATATTAGAAATAAAAAACAAACAAAAAACAAAAATATTTTGTGTACTATTCAATTAAAATTAAGAAAAAAAATTTCGCACCCTTGTTTTGACAACTGGCAATGAATATATACTTTTTATAGTTTCAATAAAGAAAGCGTTATTAAGTTAAACTCACTTCCTTCTTGCACAAAAAATTGTTTAATTGGAGAATCCTCGTTTTTAAATTTGAACTTCAATTCGAAGCACGAAAGTTTATTTTTTTGTCTATTTGTAAACCACTTCTTTCTTTTATCTTTTCTAAAGATTTAACAATAAGTCGTTTTTGTGGAACACATAGTTTTTAAATACAAAAAAATTTAGTACAATCTTTCGTCCTTCCTTTTTAAATTTTTGGATACTCTATGAAAATTTTTTAAATATACTTTTAAGACGCTACGGTTTAATCAGATTTTTTTTTTCACTTAATTGGCTAAAATATAGGTTTCTTTTTTATCCACCTTAAATAGTATGGTTGTTGTAAGAATATATACTTTTCTATAATATATTATTAATTAATAATATTTAGCATCAATTATGTTTATCGAAAAACCACAGATATAAGCAGACTAACGACGTATGTTCTTTTTTTTTGTTTAAAATTCTTATTATTACTGATCCTTTTGTCTCTAAAAGTTTCTATTTTTTTTCCCGTACAATTAGTTAAATCGATTCACTTTGTATGTTGTGTTTTTTTCTCAATTAATATGACATGTATATAGAAAAAAAGAGACTTGTCAAATCTACCACTTAAATATATAAATTTTTTCTTTTTTCTTCGGTAATTCTTATCAATATTTACTATATATCAATTAATACACATTTAAAAACTCTTCAAACTCTTTTTTTTTTGTCTTAAAAATCTATAATTTTTGAATAATTTTCTTGCATTAAATGGTTGTGTTTTCAATAGGCATATATTATATTCACAGATTTATTAACCCTTTTTTTATTTTCTCATATAAAAACTCTCACTTCAAAAATTTTTTCTTGACTTTCAATCTTGCTGACCTATAGTAAAGATATATGTTCTATCCCTTTCGAAAAAAAGTCTTTATTGATATATAAGAGTAAATATACACAGAATTAAGAGTTGTTTTGGAAAACTACTTCCTTTGATTAATTTTTCTTTTCTTCCCTTATCAATTCGTTTAATTTTTTTATGAATTGCCTCCGTTTATTAATGGAATACGGATTGATTTGATTTCTTTCTTGCTTTTATCAAAACAAGATAAATTGTCCCTTAAAAATCTAGCAAATTTTTCTCAATCGAGATCTTGAAAAATTTTATCACAGATATCAATATTGAATTAAATGTATGTATGCGTGTGTGTGTGTGTAAGTGTGTGTATGTTTTTCAAATCAATTTCATTATTAGTCTATGCTTGAAATGTCCCTAAACTTATAGAAAAATGATATAGCTGTTGTGTTATTACTATTATTGTGTAATATCTTTGTCACTTGAACAAATTTGAACAATGTAGGTAGTCGGTTATATTGTTATTACTTTTCTTAAGACAACAAAATAAAAAAATTAATTGTGATTGTAAGATGCCAGAAAATTGATTCAATTGGAATATAATTTGAGAAAATCTTCCACGTGTTTTGTGACTTATTGTTTTGGAATATTCTCACTAAATTAAAAAACAAAAACAATTACTTATAGTATATAAATTTATTTTCGAGTAGGAATTTGCTTATTGAATGCTTGACTTCTGTCTATCTCTCAACTCTGACTTAATTTTCTAATTATGGACTTTTTTTTTGTTGCACTTCCACGCGAGAACGCACGGATGCTAAGCAAACGAAATAAATTATGATAAAAACACGATTAGTGAGTAACGTATAAGATTGTGTTTGGTGGTGTATGTCTACCTATAATTTCTAAATAGGCAACTTTTCTCTTATCTAACTTCCACGCGAATTTTCACTTCTAATTATCGTTTTTCTTTACTGCTTGCTTACTTAATTATTGTATGAAGTTAAATGATTACTTTTAGTAAATTTGTATTGTTATGCTTGAGGGACTGGATTTCTTCTTCACCTTCTTTTTCTTTTGCTTACGGTACTCTAATAACTATGAGTTGTGAATAATGCTTAATGTTAATATTTTTTTTTAAATTTTATTTATCTTTTCTTTTGGTTCCTAAACGCGATTTTTGCTGGGCTTCTTTTCACTTCTTTCCGACTAATTTTTTCTTCTTGTTTTTTTAAAAACACTTAAAAATATAGAAATCTTATTAGCTTTGTGTCTGTGTACGTTTTCTTTTCATTAATCACTTATTATCCTATTAATTCTTAAAATTTTCTATTGGGACAGAGTCTCAATCGAGTTTTTTTTTTTGTATATCACAGCTTTTATAATGGGGGGCCTTATTAACTACTACAAATTGGGTCTCATTAACCGTTTTTTGCAAAGATATTGTTTGTCTCCCACTTTACTTCACAATGAAAGAAAAAAAGAATGTCCTTAAAAACGAATCCTTTTTTTCTACTTGTTAAGATAGAAATTAAAGTAAAATTGTTTCTAAAAAGAATTTTTCTTTTAAAATCACACAAAAGTAAAAAGAATTTTGTTTGCTTTTTACGCACAACGAGAATGACTTTTTTCGAAAATGAATTTTACTTCTTTTTCCTTGAATACTCTAAATTTAAAATATTAACTTTAAATTTAGACTTTGTTTTTAATATCGAATGTTGGATTAGATTAGATTTTTTTTTCTTAAAAAATTGGTATAACTTTGATATTTTCACTTAATCTTCTTGATTTCTCTACTAAGAGTTTTCGATTCAAGTCTCAAAAAAATCACTTTTATTTAGTATTATGCAATGTTTTTGATTGATTTTGATTGGCAAATAGAACTTGCTGTCCTTTTTTTTTACTAAGATTATTATCAGCTACAAAAATATTTTTTTTCTTTTTATTCCAAATGAGCTCTGTTTTTTTTTGTTTAATGACTTGCGTTATTATTCTCTCAGGATGTACTGGTGGCTGGATATATAATTATTATTAGTTTTACTTATTTGAATCTTATCAAGTCTAAGGAGATTTTTATAACTCCCACCAATCTCAAAAAATTTTAATATTAATTCTTTTTTTATTATTATATAAAATGAGGCATAAAAAGTAGAAATTGTTTAGGACGACTTTTAATTACTAGAAAACAAATGACTAAAAACACGGAAAGCAGCGCAATTCAGCACTTTTTTTGTTTGTTATAAAAGCTAAATTTGGACTTAAAGTATAAATTTGTGTTGGAATTAAACTAAAATTGTAGATAAAATTTAACTTTTCTTACTTTTTTTCACCTAAAAACACGAGACACAAAAGTTTCTTTGAAGTATCTAAATTCACTTCACAGGCTTTGTAGAAATTGGTTAGGTTTTACCCTTATTTAATTTTCAATTCGACTTAAAATATGTAACTTAAAATTGTATTTTTCAAAAAGTTATGCTTTGTATGCTCTGAGGCAAAATATCAACTATCCGCGCTAAGGGCTCGGAAGTTACTTATTCTTTTTAGGTTAATAAATTCCCCTTAAAAATCTATTTTAGACACAAAATTCAGAAGACTTAGAATTAGCGATTTCACTTGTTTTTTTTTTAAATTTTTTTTTTCTTATTTACTACGCAATTAAATTGTTATTGAAACGATATCTTTTTCTTGTTTTTTTCTTTTTCTTAAATTTCTATCTTCAGCTTAAACTACTTATATGCAAAAAAATTTTATGATGCTTATTAAATCCAATAAGAATTACACTCTACTGTTTTTTATTCTTCTTTTAAAAATATTTTTTTCAATCACAACCATATTACATCAACATTTTATCTCATAAGGACATATAAGGATTTGGTTTCGTATGAACAATATGCTGTCTTCTTAGTTAACTTTCACTGCGAAAATGCACGAAAGCTATTGTAATTTAGTTTAAGGAAAATCTTTTAAAATATATAACTTAATTTGTTTTAAGAATATGTGATAAAATAATCGCATTTGTTTCTGCAAGAAATGCGGTTAAAAAAGAGAACTTCTTCTTCGTATTAAGACAGTGATACGAGAAACTAAAAATAATTAAATATCTAATTGCATTTGGCTACAACAGAAAGAGAATAATAGAAAAAATGTTTTTTTATCGTATATATGTCGTTTAGATAATATAATCTGGATGTGTGTTATTTAAGTTCGATTATTGTTTGTGTCGGTTAGTTCCTCTTTGAGAAAAAATCGTTAAATTTTGTAATGTTTTTGCAAGGCAAAAGTGTGCTTGCAGCTTGTTAATTTCCTCTGTTTTTCTTTTTTATTTTTTGAAAAAATACTCTAAATATACTTCTTTTTTTGACTTAATTATTAATTATCTGTTTTTCTCTTGCTTTGATCCGTTAATGTGTATCGTCGTTAAACTGTTAATTACTAATTTTTTTCTCATTAACACTATAAGTTTTATACTTAATATTAATTCAATAATAAGGAATTCCCATTAATTGTCTCGTGGCTTTAAAGATCACTCTCACCTACTTGGTTAATTACTTAAATTTTTCTTCACAGGCAATAGGCAGAATACGTCTAATTTTACTTTTTTTTACTTTAATTCTTAAATTGTATGACAAAAAATCTCAATTTAACAATTAATAGGAATTTTTATGCACTTTTTGATTATAATTAAACAATTAATATTTTTTTAATATGATTCTTTGTTTTCTGGTTGTGTTTTTGTTGTAATGATTATGTTTAGCTTGTTTCTAATCACCTAAATATATATTTCATATATTATGCACCCGTTCTGGAGATATTCTTCCTTCAACACTCTCCCGATAATTTTTTTTTTCTTTAATTTAGATTTTTTTTTTGTTTGTTAAACTTTTCGGCGGAAAGAATCCTAAAAAGTTGTGTTTAAATTAATTTAGATTATTGTATATAATTATAGTAGAGATGTCCACTGCTTTGGCGACAAGAAAAATGTTTTTTTTTGTGTGTATTTTTGTAGTTTACTCTCACTTTTTTTAAATGGAAATGTAAAAAGATTTATGTCGTCTTGAGGGGTTTCAGTTGTGTTTTTTGGTGGTTCCTTTCTTTTTTTACTATATTTATTCTTTGAATAAAAGAGACAAAAATGATGGAGTGATGTACACTTGCTTTATGTTATACTTTTTTTCTTCACTACAAAAATATCCTCTTAAATGATTGAATGAATGCAAAATTCACTAGAATAATTATTAATTAGTATTATTACTTCCACTGATCGCTGCGTTATGAAATGTCTTTTTATTTTTGTTTTGTCTGATGATAAGATCTTCACTTATGAATTACGAGGGTGTTTTATTATCAAAATTAAATGATTTTTTTTTTCTGTTTCCCTTAAGTGTTCTATAACTTGGTATGCTTTCATCAAAGTAATATGTAATATAAATATAAATATTTCTCGGCTTTCACAGTGCTTTCTTATTTCTTCAGCAGATTAATGGCAAAAAATGGAAAAATTTAATTAAAGCTTTTTGAAATAAATTTTAATTAAATTTTGCAATTTTTTTTGTGATTTTTTTTTGATAATCTCTCTCAATTTTTTTTTTTTGTTTAATAATTTTATAATTTGTACGAAGGCAATAATTTAGTTATAGCTTTTCATTGAGCCACCACCAAAAAAACGTGTATGCTTTTTACTTTATCAAAATTTACTCGCAAGTAAATGTATAATAATAATAATTAATGCTGGTTATTTGGCGGTTTGTATTGAAAAACCCTTACAATCTTTTCTTAAAAATTCTTCTTTTTGGTAAATATCAAAATATTCTCCTGTCTCCTCTCGGTTCTCTGACCTCCTTTCTCGTCGAGATGTTCTTAGTTGGCAAAAAAAGAGAACGTCGTATGCTTCACTCTTGCTGATTCTCTCTTTACATTTACACTTTTTTTTTATTCACTGATATTATTTTTTTTTTGTTCTTTTTCAATTTTTTTAAATACTTTAATTGTTTTCTTTTTACTTTTTAGATTTTTTTTTTGTACACTTTTTTCAAACGAGCAACTCTTTAGATACAAAACTCTGAAATGAGAAGGAATAAAAGAGAATGAAAAATAACATGAGAAACATATTCAATGAGAAACTATACAATGTTCAGATTGTGAAAAGTTCACATATTTAAAAAAAAAAGTTTTCTTTTTTTAGGTACATGAAATTGTTGAGATTCTAGAAATAGTAAGGAATGGAATGAGATTCTTTTCTGTCTTGTGAGTGAAGGAAAATCAATACATTGTTAATACAGTTTTACTATTGAATCGTAAAAAGTTGTAAGGTAAATTCAATTTAGATACATTAAGTTCCACTTGCCAAGCAATAAAGCTGATTTAATCACATCATAAGATATAAGAATCTGTGAGAAATAATTTAATCAATAACTTCAAGGCAATAAATCATATAAAATGCTTAAAAGCATTTCTAGAACTTCACAACAAAAGGAAATTCAATTTTCCAAACATTTCTATCCACAAAAAGTATCAAACTCTTTATTTTAGCAGTCTTGATCCAGTTTATAAAAGGGCGGAGAACTTTCATGCAATTTAAATGCGCAAAAAGTCATTTCATGCATTTATGCAAAGTTATGAGCCCTTTAAAAACAGCTTTCAACAGTAAATACTAAGTACATGTAAAATATATACAATATAGATGTGTATGAAGCCTCGAAAAGTTCAAGGATAAAACAAAAAAAAAAATTCAGTACTCATATTTATTATTTCTGCTCATTCAACAAAGCCACGATATTCTACATTCTGTCTCATTTTTCATCACTTACAAAGCATAAAAAATTTGCAATCAATGCGAAAAAAAATTCCATTGCATTGCAGACATTCCCAGGACTCGGATTTTTTTTTTCCTTAATTGAGAACGGAAAAAAAATTGATATAAAAACTTTTTTTTGTGTTTCACTTTTAAAGGCCAATTTGTATCATTTTTTGATTATTTTCTAAATTTAATGAACATTTTTCCAATTGCTTTGCACTTTTTCTGCACAAAATATCATAAAATTTCCTCAAATTCTCTTTTTTGCAATATTTTTTTTTTTTATTATTTTTCCTTTACAGAAACACACTCAAAAGCCCCTTTTCAACTGCTTTTTTTCGTACACAAGACGCGAATGGCTGAAAGCTTTTTTAGCTCTAGTTTTTCTATAGATTCATAATAGTGAATACACAAACATACTTCAATACAATTAAATGAAACAGAATGGGAATTTTCTTATCCACGATCATGCGCAGTGTGAAGAATCAACATTATAGAGAAAATAACCTTGTAGAAGTTTTATCAGGAATTACAGTGTGTCGATTGAAAATGTTTTCTAGATGAAATATCAATTTGAGTTATGATTTTTTGATTGCCAAGATTTTAAATTGAAGTAAAAAGTTGAAGGATATCCAAATGAATAATTGATCGACTTGAAGATTTGTTCTGCAAATTTATTACCAATAAAATTTATTACAAGGGTTGAGATAGAAAAAAAGGACTCAATTTGATTCAATATTTGAAGACTTTTTCAAAGTTTCACTCAAGAAAGGACAAAAAAAATATTATAAATAATTTTTTTTGATGTTTGTCTTTTCCAACGGACCTTAACCCGATGTATAAAGCGATTAAGAGGAAAATGTGAGACCCACGCATGAGGGAACTTTGAAGAGATATTACTATAAAGTATAGCGACACCAGTTCAAAAATTTTCACATATAAGATTAAATTCTTTCGTAAAAATAGCAACAAGATGATAAAAATGAATAAACGCAAGGAGAAAATGTGATTTTTTTTTTCTTCTCTGCCTAGCGTACGCTCCCATACACGACTCACATACACGGTGAAAAACAAATACAAATGTGAGAAAATAAGAAAATTTGTCATTTGTATGTTTTTGTTTTTGTGCTGCAGATTTATTTTTCAAATGACACCCACTCACTGCTGGTGCTCAAAATCTCTCGACATTATTGTTATTTTATCAAACATTCGTAATTTTTTTGGTAGCTCTTTCTTGATAACGTTCTTATCAATAAAAATTATTATATTACTGACTTCTTAATTCTCTTTTCTAATTTTAAACTTGAACTTCGCCAGACTTGAATATGATAATCTTACATTATGCTATGGCGACTCGTGCAAAAATGTGGCACGTTTTGAAAAAGGCTGGTCTTTTAAAAATTGATTTATTGAGGATTATAACGCAGTTATTGGGTTCAAGATGTATAAAGGATTTTTAAAAATTGTAGAAAAAGTCTTATTGGATTTTTCCTGATGATAGATTTGATATATAGATGAGAAATTATAAACTATTGAATAAATCATTGATGATGTTTTAATTGCAGAAATTTGCTTTGAGTCTCGAGCTCAATTGTTCTGTTTATTTCAAAACATTAAGATTCATATTGTTTTTGAAGGTTTGTAGTCTTGTTCTGAGGTTAACAACTTATAATATCGGAACTTAAACATATGGATAGAAAGTAATATAAGATAGCCAGAACTAAGGTTCCAGAAGCATTTACTAGAAATTTTCATTAACACAATCATAAACTCAGACAATATTCTTGTTGTCTTTGCTGAAAATTGTTTTTTAAAAAAAAAAAAATTGTAAAACATCAATGTTGTTCAAAATTGTTATGTCTGTGTACTTAAATTAACTATTTTGTTTTCACAAAATAAACATTGCAGCAATTTTTTTAATTATGAGAAAATTTCGAAACTTCTCTTTTTGTTAATAAATAAGTTTTTTTTTCTTTGTAGAAATATTGAAATACCTGTATTGAGAAACATTAGAACTCTTTGCTTTATAAACAAGTCTGTTTGCTTTAGACGAGTTGACTTTTTAAGTTTCTGAATGAAACTTTTGGATTGTTTATTTTTGCAAGTTTTGTGATTTCAAGGACATTTAATGAAGTCTAAAAAACTTGCTATTGGATTAGAAAAAGTTACTCATTTTAAAACTCTTGTCTAATCAAGAAATTGAGACAAATGACATGAATAGAAATGACATTGAAAAAAAAAAGTTTCAAACTTATCAAAGAAATAAAACAGTCAGGCATGTTATCAATTTCTATATACACATTTTTTCATGAAATAAAACCAATTTTTTTTTAATATCGATAACGAGCAAGTTGAAATAAAAATATTTTTTCTTTGTCAACAGAAAAGGCATGAAAAGTAAAAACAAAATTCGAAATATGAACCTTATAAATTACTCATATTTATTCTGATTGATATTCATATATTTTGTATACTTTTTTCATTTCTTAGCAGACAAAACGAAGTGAAATGTAAAAGAAATAAAAATCAATAACGGAAATACGTATACACAAGGTTGACGAAGAACTCTTTTTTTTGCACACTTATCGAGCAATAAAAATAATTTTATATAAATATTTACAGTCTTATTGAAAATTAAATGTGACCAAATTCACACAATCGTTCTGATATGAAAGCAGTTTTTATTGGCTTTGTGATAAAAGAATTTGATATTTTCCACACCGTCAGCCATGGACGTAGTCAGGGGGTGTAATTATCATTTTAAAAATAATTTGAGCGAATCTTTCTCAAAGCTTTCTGACTACAACCATGCTGCCAGTCAGCCACAAGTGGAAATGAAAAGGAATTAAGTAATGTATATTTTTATCATATTTTGTTGCTGATTAAATTTCTCAACTTTGTGTTTTTCTTTCATTTTGTGTTTATCAACGATCAAAATTACTCCACAAATGCCCACGAAATGTCTTTTCGTGTAAATAAAATTGAGATGAGAGAAAAATATTGAAAATTAAAGGCAATAAAAATGAACTGTACACGATGACACGTTATACAGTATGAGTAATTTATGTGTCGATAAAAATAGTCAGATAAAAAAATTCACAAAAATTAAAAATAAATAAATTAAGCCGTTTTTTTGCCTTCATTAAAAAGAAGTATTTTCAATTACATAAAAGTTCAACGCAACTGACCAAAGAGATCAAGAAAAGAAAGAAAAAAACTTAATTAAAACAAACTATTTTTTTAAGACTTCGACTTTGGCTACGAAGAATGTTAACGGGGTGATTTACTATATATATTTTCGTTATTTTTATGACTTTTATCTACATTCAAGCTTATGAATATTTACTTCATATGAATTAATGCTCTCCTTTATGCTACATTTTTCTTTCCACCTGTGATCTTTGCAATGCTTTACTGAACATACAATTTCTTCAGTCAGTCTTATATTTATTTTTTTTTTCTTTTCTTTCTTTATATTATGCAATATAAAAACAGAAGAAAAAACACATAAGCAATATAAAATGAATATATGAAAGAGATAGAGAACAAAAATAAAATGCCACCTCATCAACAACAAAGTTTTAACAACGCAAACAGTAAATGTGTGTATATTAAACTTTTAAATTTTCTTCATTGAGATTGGGATGTTTACAACAAAACCTAGTCTTTGTGATTCATGAATTTTTAGTCATTCGATGATAAATCAGATTTTAAGCATCTAAAATTTACAAATTTAGTGTAAAACAATCCAAGATTCGCTCTAATGCCTCAAAAACCTCAAACTAGGCAATTTTAAATACATATTATTGCTACCAAGCAAATGAATTATTTTCGGAGGTATTTGATACGGTTAAGGTTTTTTTCTACATCGCTAAGAAATAATAGCAAATGAGAGTAAGTAAGAGAGCAGTCGAGAGAATCGCAGCAGATGTTGCAAATACATCAAATGTAATGAAGTTGAGCAAAAAAAAAAATATGATAATATCGAATCAAACTAAAGATTGAAAAATAATAAAAATGTGTGTTTATATGTATAAGAAAGAGTCGAGAGAAGCGAAAGAGAGTAAAATGCCGGTACATATTACTTTATCTGCTGTCTAAATATGTCTCTGTTGCAGACTCTGAGAATATAAAAATAAGAAGAAAAAATAAGAATAAGATGAAGAAAAACGTGTTTCAGAATTCAGAAGTAGTTTTGCCACGACGTTTTCAAGTTTTTTTATACTTCTATTTCCAATCTTCTCTCTTTTATCCATTCAATAATTTTTTTCTTACTTCATACAGTATGAATTCACATATCGCAAGACCTTTTTAGCTTCATTCAATTTATAAGAGAGTTCAACATGTATTAAGAAGGAATCTTAAAGAGATTTGACTTTGGTAGCTGACATTAAACGCATTTTAACGATTGTGACTGAAAGTGTGAATTACAATTTCTCGATTTTAACTCAAATAATGTAATAAAATATTCTCGTGACAATACGAATGATCTATAATCATAGCACATTATTCAAGAATTCACGCTTCGCTAAATATATTCGTAAAGCATATCAGCAGACAAATGTAAAGATCATATAGCAGACAGAAACATTTCTGCCCTAAGGGAAAACAAGCTTCAAAGGAGCAGAAGAAAAAAAAATTGGATAAAGATAGACTAAAAGGAGAAGAAAAATCAATTAAATGAATATTTTTATATACTCTTACTGCTTAAGCCAATCTACATGAACACCGAGTTCTAATGTGATAGAAAAATAAGAACTAATTCTCATTCATGAGTTGCCTTTTTTTTGCTGATGCTGTTGCCTTTTCGATATAGCCGTAAGTAGAGCGGGTAAAGCAGTGGCTTTGTTTAACAACGAAACATATTTCTTTTCCCCTACTCGAGCTACATTAACTTCGTGTTCATATTATTATACTTTTTCCTAGCAAATAAACAATAATGACTTCTTTTTTTTTTGTATGTTTCTTGCTTCTAAACTGCTTGTTGTTCCACAATATTTGCGTCTTACAGACTAATTATCAATTGATATATTTTTTTGTTTGACTCATTATAGTCTCTGTTTGGACATAATGATTCTTTTTCAAATAGACTCTATTGTTGTTCTTATTATTATTTAATACACCTATACAAAAGCTAAAAGACAAGACGCAATAAAAATTAAGAATTCTTGAGTGCAAATATTACAAAAACAAAAAAACTCGCGATTTTTTTTTCTTCTTCGATCAGCTTATGACTTTTGCTGCTTGAGTTTTTACACAAAAAAGCTATATTTTGAGATATAAAATATATATATATTTCGAGAATATTTTTCATCTCTGCTTAATTTTTATTTCTTTTTCTTATTGAAGAAAAAAAAAATAACCATTTAGCTAAAGTTGTTTGTGTATTCTCAAATATCAAAAAAAAAAAAAAAAATAAAGAAGTGAAAAAAATATATAAATTTTCGCTCATATTTGCACGATGAGATGCTAGCGTATTTACTTTGTCTGATTGGGTGGGTGTGTTGGAAATGAAATAAAATTCGAGAAACTCATAAGTCATGTGTTACTCGTGGATGTTCTTATTGGAGTATTATTATTATTATTATTAATCATTATATTTTAGGCTTGCGGCTTAAATGACGCACTTGAGATAAATAGAGTTCTAGATACTTTTTAATGTGTGACTCTTATGAATGAATTTAATTTTTTGTGAAATCCAGATTAATCATTGAAAAGATTCATAGAAATTTTAGGAACTACGTCACTGAAGATTAATTTAAAAAATTTCCACTGTCATGAAACCTTACAAAGGTTGATAACGTATTACTCTACTTTTTTGTTGTTTTTAAAATTACAATACACAGACATTGCAGATAATGCATCATGTAGAACTTACTAATATTACCAGAAAAACGCATACTAACACATCTAAAGCTCATTTATAACATTTTTCATTCATAGAATTTCCATGTCGATTTCATGATTTTTCATAACGAAATTATTCCAGCTTTGTATAGCAAGTTATTCATGTCTTTAAAATTTTATGTAATTTGGTATAAATCAAGAGTTATTTAAATGACAAGTAAAATAGGATTGTAATCTTTGATGATTAAACAACAATTCAACAATTTGTTGCGAAACAAAAGTCAATCCCTCAAAAAAAATGTTGCATAAACCAAAATTTGTTCTCAATAGTCGTGATTTGTGAAGGTCAAATTTTCGTGACTGCCCACATTCACATCCATGAATAATCTAATTAATCTAAAGCATGAACAAATGCGTCTAACCTAATTCTCATTCATTAATTGAATGACTTAATAACTTGTTTATAAAGCAATATTTGCGTGTACATGAAAATAAAGGTAAGCTAAGAATGGTGTGTCTCGTAGCTGAAATGTATGGGTTTATACCATGTTTCTAAAGTACTTTGATGCAAATATAGTCGGTATATAGACAACGAGCAAGCTGAAATGTTGATGCTTTTTACTTATTATTCTTTGCTAGATATTTCACTATAGTCAAATAGATTTTTTTCTTCTTCATTTCTTTTTCTCCGTCTCTTCATTCTCGATCGAACATACAAAAAAAGGCATCTCTTATTATTGTTATTACTACTTCTATCCATTCTTCTTCATCTTATTCTCATTTTCTGTGTGCGAATATTTATCTACATTTTTCAAATCTTTTTGAGCGAGAAGCTAGCTTCAGAATATACTTTGATATTTCATGACCGATTCGCGAATCGTGAAAATAATTATGTAATTTTATTATATCTTCATATATTTTTTAGATATAGAGCAAAAGGTGTTTATTGGAACAAAACAAGAAGAGCATGAATATTTCATACAATGTGTCCGTATGTATGCAAGAGAGAGGAGATGATTTCATAGACACCAGCTAACTGGCAGAGATAAATGTAAATTATTATTATTTTTTTTCTTGCTCGTGAATGTAAATTTATATTATAATTAACTCAAATTGTATGTCATTTAAATCTTTCTTGGGCAATACGATTGCACATTATTGCTGGTTTAAAAAGAAAGTCAAAAGTTATGTGCTGTAAAACCATACAAAAAATTGTGACACAGTAAAATCGATTTAGAACGAACGGCATAACAAATCATCATCTATTGCCATTTATAGACCATAAAGTCGAATGTCATAAAATTCTTTCAACACCTACAGTCATCTGCTATACTTCACGTGTTCTCTCCATTCGTCGACTATTCTTAACTTTGCAACTTTTTTTTTTTATCTAATCGCATTCACATCATTCGTCACGCTTGACGAGCGATAATTCTATTATGAAAATACTTTTTTTTTGTTGTTGCTTATTTAAAATAAAATTCATACATACAGAAGCGAAACGATGATGATAAAAAAAGAGAATATATTGTATATACTTTACTTATTATTATATGTGTACTAAAATATATATATCAGTGATATGTACCCTATTTTTTTGAAGTATCCAATAACAATACAATTGCAGCATAGAATTGCTATATTTTCGTTTTACTTCATCAACTTTTTTATGTGTTTTAATGAACACACACTCTCACAGTTTCTTTTTTTTCTTCAATAATATTATTATTATTTTTTTACTTTTTTTCATGTGTATAATTTTTTTCTTCTTCTTTTAAAATGCATTCAGAATTTTTTCTTTTATTTTTCAGCACAATGGATTAATTTTGGTAATTAAATAAATATTTGGGATCACTTTATCAACCGATTGTAACGCGATATCAATTTTGTTTGAACTGCCTTTTTTTCCTAGCCCCGAAAAAAAAATAATTTCAGATCACGAAGCTTAACACATCTTGTTCCAAGATGTACATAAAATGTACTGATGTATAGTTGGCTCATGTATAGGTGGCACATTTCAAAATACATGTCATGGGTTCGGCAGGTACAGGAGAGGAACAAAAAAAAAATTTATGAGGCAATAAAGAAAGTTTCAGAACTTGATTCTTTGTTGTGGATAATTTTTTGGCAAATTATAAAAAAAAAAAACATTTGTTTGTTTTTATGATTTAATTACGATTGAATTGACGTTATTTGGAGATCTATCCAAATCAGCCATTTGCTTTTTAACGTCCTCTACTGGATATCTATGTAACTATGTTTTCAATTTTTCTATGCGCATTTTATTTTATTCCCTTGAATTTTTCATTACTTTAATTAAATTTCTACTGGACATTGTTATGCTGATTAAACCTTCGATAATGTAATTAATAATTAATCACTTAATAAAATAACAATAAAAATAATGATTGGTGAATTGAAACATTTTTCATCACTTTTTCAATACTTTTCGGTCCTTCATGATTTTTCACAATGACTCGAAGCAGTTGGAAAAATGTTCTCGAATTAATTTTTTTCACTCAATTGACATTTTTCTTCAGACATTTGCATCCCAAAAATTTTTTTTCGTGCGCTTCAACTTTATCAATTTTCATGAAAAATACCCTAAAATTCACTCTTACCTTTATATCGATGAGTTTTATCAACGTAATCACACTCGATTCAAGTCATTTTGCAGTTCTTTTATCGAAGAATTCGCGTTTAAAGATTTTAAAAACACAATTAAATTTTTTTCGCGTACGATTCGCTCTCTTGATTAAGAACTTTTCACGGCGGGTCTGTACATTATATTTCTTTTTTTCTTCAGTCACAGGGCTTTCAACTACAGTCGATTGAAAAAATAATACCAAGTTTCGTGGGACATCTATAAAAACTTGTTGTTTATAAATTTTTTGATCTCACATTTCCGTTAATTGAATCAAATTTTGTTCACGCTTTTGACATTTTTGAACTTTTTCCTCGAAAACCCTTTAAATGAAACTATTCAAAAGCTGTATTATTTGTTAAAAATTGAAATATCGTCCAATAACAATAACGACCCATGAGCTCCATCTAGATTCGATTATGTGAATTACCTTTTGTAAGCAAAACACAATAAATAGTTAAAAGTTTATTGAAATTTAAAAAAATTAAAATTAAATGAGATGGAGGAGCATATAAAGAGAGATTTTAATATAAATAGAATGTGTAGGTCGTGCCTGACTGAAGCAGGCGATGATATGAGCGAAATATTTGGACATCAGGACTCCCCAGATACTTTAAATTTGCATCAAATTTTAATGCAATTAACAACAAATGTTCAAGTAATTTATACATTTTATATTAATTACATGACAGAATTTTCAAAAACTAGTTTGTTTAAACTTTAATAATTAGCAACAAAATTAATTAATAAAGTTTTCAAACTATTTTTTTTTAATAGTTTAATCCAAATGATGGAATGCCCGACAAATTGTGCAAAGATTGTACAGAGAAGGCGTTTTTAGCTTACAACTTTAAAGTTGTATTAGAGCAAAGTGATACAACACTCAGAAATGTTTTTCGGGATCAAATTCAAACTATAAAGAAAGATACAGTATTTGACCCATCTCACGCATATCTTGGCTTGGGAATCAAGACCGAAATTGCATTTGTTGACGCTGATCCTTTTATCGATGACGATGGTGATTTTGATTATGTTCAAGCTCAACCGCAAAGTTCAGTTCAAGGAAATCAGCAAATGGATAACCACAATGTATACCCACATAATGATGAAGAGATACTAGATTCTGATGATGACGATGATGATGATGAAGATGACGATGACGATGATGACGATATTTCCGAGGACATATCACCAAAAGAAAAAGTCATTAAAAAGAAAATAATATCACCAAAAAGTACAGAAACCGTTGACTATATTAAAGATGAAGAAGGAAAATTCGTTTGTCAAATTTGCAACAAAAAGCTGGTTGATAAGAAAGGATTCAATTTGCATCTTCGCCTCCACACTGGAGAAAACTTGAAACGTTGCAATATCTGCAATCGAGGTAATCAAGCTAATTACAAGCTGTTAATTTTATGCAGCTCAACTATAAGCGTGTTGTCAATTGGCTTCACACAGTAAAAAATGTTGTCGAATGAGATAAACACACTGATTGAAATATATCCAATTAACTTGTTTACAATAATAATGCTATTGTGTGTTGTATCCATAAATCAAATTGTTCCTTTTTTTCATGTCAACTAATTTATTAATTTAATATGTTTTTAAGGTTTCATTAAAAGCGATCACCTCAAAAGACATTTACTGATACACGAGAAATCAGTGAATTGTGACTATTGTGATGAATCATTTGCGTCACGTGCTGACTACAAGATTCATTTGAAAGATGAGCACGAAGATGACATAATACAGGAGTCTGATAAGATACCAAAGAGTCAAAAGCCACGTCCAAATTATATGAATGCAATCTGCAAGATTTGCGATAAAAAATTCCAAAAGATAACAGCGTTAAGGACGCATGTAAATCAGCATCTCTTATCGACGTCATTTGATGATACAGACATAAGAAATAAAATTTTCCTTTTTAATCCACTCGAGATTGACTTGGAGAAGTCATCAAATCAAGATCTTCATTTGTATGTGAAGAATAAATTAAATGAAAATGAATGTGAAAAGTTTTATCAAATTGTTACACGTGATGGCCATGAACTCTTATTAAGTGATTCGGAGACCGAAGATGAAAATGAAATGTGTCATCCTGATGATAGAATTGAGTTATCGATTGAGCATGCACCGATTTCAACAAAAATACCATACACGTGCTCGCGATGCATTAAAACATTTGCAAGGAGTAAAGACTCAATGACCCATATGATGACGGAACATTTACATGAGCTTAATGAATTTATTGATAGATGTAACACATGCAGTAAAGTTTATCCGAATAATTATATGTTACAAAAACATTTGAAATCTCAGTGTGAGAATAAGACAAAGAAATTAAGTTGTAGTACGTGTAATAAGAAATTTATGTGGCTTGATTCGATGGTTAAGCACTGCGAAACTGAGCATCCAGGAACAGATAAAATTAAATTGTATACGTGTGAGTTATGTGGAAAGGCATTCTCACGATCGGAGCATCTTGAGAGACATCGAAAGACACACAATCCATCCGAAAAGAAGTTTGAATGCACAGTGTGTCAAAAGAAGTTTAATCGCAAAGACAATTTACGTTCGCATATGAAAATTCATAAGGACAATCGTGACGACGAGGATAAACATTTGTGCATCTATTGTGGTCGAGCATTCAGTAATTCGTCTAATTTAATTGTCCATATGAGACGTCACACTGGTGAGAAGCCATACAAGTGTGATTTATGCGAGAAAGGTAGCTAGTGCTTATTATTAATGTAATTATAGGTAATGACAATTTTATAATTTTGCAGGCTTTCCACGATCATCTGATCTACAATGTCATCGAAGAACGCACACAGGTTTTTATAATACCAAATTTAAATCTCACTCCATTAATTTTAACATTCAATCACTGAATCATCCTTGTTATTCTGAATATATCTGGTACTAAATTATCTATAATTATAGGTGAGAAACCCTGCTTATGCACGATTTGCGGTAAAGGATTCTCAAGATCCAACAAACTTGTGAGACATATGAGAATTCACACAGGGATACGTCCTTACCAATGTACCTGTAAGTTATTGGACATGCTTAAAAATAAGTTAAATCTAATGGCTTAAATTCTTAATTGTAGATTGCGACCGTGCCTTTACGCAGTCCAATGACTTGACACTTCATATACGAAGGTGAGTAACCTATCCATCTTAGCTAATTGACTGCTTAGTAACGATCTTATATCTTAACAGACATACAGGAGAAAAACCATACGTAAGTATCAGAAGCTCAATTCTTATTAGAATAACTAGTTTAACAAGAAATAAAAAATAATTTTAGGTATGCGGAGTGTGTGGAGACAGATTCATCCAAGGTACAGCACTCAAACAGCACCAAAGAATGCAGGGTCATATGGAAGGAAGCCAACCGAGTCCATACGCAAGTATAAGCGTCAATAATCCAAGTAGATTTACAAACTCTAATTTAGTCAATCGACGTTACATGGAGCAACAGGCGCAACAACAGAGCCAACAAAATTCCCAAATGCCAATCAAGCCAGTGATCCCAAGAAGACGAACAGCAAATAGTCAGCTTTCCACAAATGTTAATCCAGAACAAACTACTTCAACAATGCATAATCAGCCACAAGAGCATGTTGCAAATGACATAAATCGATCACCATCACCTCATACGTCTGGATCACAACATTCGACTGGATCTCAAACACCGAATCCAGCAACGCAAGATATAAAGCCAAATTTACAGAATCTAAATTTGCCACAATATAATGGAAGCATGCCACTTGTAAATAACATACCGAATATGGAGATAGCTACACTGTTTACAATGTCTTTTAATCAGAACTTTCAAAATCACTCAAATTAAATGTTTTTTGCTCTAAATTTAATGAATTGACAACTTATTTTAAGTATTTTACACACACAAAGGAGAATCAGTATAATGTTTTGAAACTTGTAACACTGTGAGATGTTGAAACAATTAAATATATAATAAAAATCACTTTAATTAAGCAAAATTGTACTCACCTTTTACTGGATTTGAAAAGTATCCTGGAATGAAACTGGAAGTATCTTGGAAAACAGGAACTTTTGTTGATGGATTTTATTTTCTGATTTCTACAGATGCTGGTTAATTCAATTAACATTTTTCACAGCCAACTGAATCTTAAAATAAGCATTCAACATGTTGAAAGTAATTTGAGTCTAATCCTGAGTTGTGCAAAAGAATCTAGTTTAACGATCGTTGAATATTCGAACTGCAAGCTTTGGAAGGGGCTCGGGGCAAAAAACTACGATCTCATTCTTTTCTGCCAAGATTTTTAATTCGCATGTGAGTATTTTTCAAAAATTAATTAATTAACATGGAAATCCACATAAATAAATGATGAATTAAAGTGAATCTATTAAGTAAGATGTCAAGCTACAGTTTTAGCATGAATGCACACATTTATGTGCCTTAATTAACGTAAAAATGACATTTGTTTTCGTGGTTTTTGTGGACATTAAAAAATGAATTTTCAGGTTAGAAGAAAACAACACAAAATAAATTAATTGAACTTATTTATCGTTTTAGACTCAGAATTCTCAGAGTATATAATGGCACCAACTGTTGCAAAGAAGACAGCCAAAGGCAAGAAGCCTGCAAAAGTCGTCAAAAACCGTGATTTAGGAAGTGGAATCCTAAGATGGACACGATTCAAGCTTAAACAGAAGAATTCATATCGTTTGAAGAATGCTAAAGCAGCAAAGAAAGCAAAGGGCAAGAAAGATCCATCAAAGAAAGTCGTTGTGACAGTCACAAAGGATATTGGTGGAGCTAAGAATGGAGGCAAACGCGTTGTTAAACTCATCAAGAGCCGTGCATCTTATGCCACAAAAGCTAAGGTCACAACACGTCCAACAAGAAACTACTTCAAGAAACATGTTCATCATACACGCCGTACATTAGTTCCAGGCAAAGTATTGATTCTTTTGGCTGGTCGTCATAAGGGCAAACGAGTTGTATTAATGAAGGTTTTGCAATCCGGATTATTGCTCGTTAATGGACCATTCTATTTGAATAGCTGTCCATTACGTCGCATCTCACAACGTTATGTGATCTGCACAAAGACTCGTGTCAACTTGAAGGGTGTCACTATTCCTGAACACATCAATGATACATACTTCAAGCGCGCTGATAAGAAGAAGGCACGCAAGACCGAAGGTGATATCTTTGCTAAACAAGAAGAGAAATACACACCATCAGAGCAACGCAAAAAGGATCAAATTGAAGTTGATAAGCTTGTACGCGGTGCTATCAAGAAGACAAATCAAGGATTGTTGGTCAGCAAATACCTTAAATCATACTTTGCATTGAGAAACCATCAATATCCACATCGCTTGCGTTTCTAAGCTAATTCTTTATGATTTAACTTCATTTTCCTCCCTTTTTTCGTGCTGCGATGATGAAAAATATGTAACAACAGTTTTGAAATGCTGAAATAAATGGAAAATTTATTATAACGGAAAATGAAACTCTTTGTTGCTTATTCGTGGCTTTTTGACTTATTTAAAGGACATTTTCCTGCTTTGTTGTTCATGTTTAATTGATTTTTCAGCCTTATTGATATTATTTGAACCTGTCTGGATCAGCTGAATGAAATGCATAAAAGATCCAGTGAAACAATAAGCAAAGCAGTCGGTAAAGAAGATTTCTGGATCTAAAACTTATTCTTAATTCCTGTATTCCATAATAACTGTCAAAATAATTTTAAATTTTTTGAGATCCAGTTTGAATATTTTCCAGCCGTTAATGTTCAAATTTATTTTTAACGATTTTTTCGTAATCTACGGATCCTGTGTAATCAAGTAAGTAGGTCAGTTAATCACGTTTCAAATCAAATTTTATTAATTTCTCTAGAATTTTCAAGCATTTCCATTACTTCTATACATCATAACTATAATAAATTCTTTTTAATATTAATTAATTCCTAAGATTCATCGACACATCTTAAATGTACTCATAAAACATATACCAATATGTGCAATTGAGAAGTGTAAAGGTAAGCGGAAATGCTACACGACTAAATTTATCGACATGAATTGCTCTTCTTAGTCGAACTTGTGCTGGAGTCAATTTTGTAGCTCCTCGAGCTGGGGCAGGGGGAGCTGGGGGTAAACTTAAAGCATCAATTTGACAGCTTCGACGAGGATTCAAAAATGGATGTGGTGAATCTGTTGGATCTTCTTGTTGACTACATCTTGTTTCTCGTCTAGAGGACTGTAAAATTATTAAGAAATTAGATTTTATGAATCAGGGAACGTTAACATATCACGTCCAACATTAAGGGGGGGGGGGGGGGGGGGGGGGGGGGGGGGGGGGGGTAGGGGTTAGGGGGTTCTATAAATCTAACATTTTGATGGACATTATTTGTTAACGATCCCAAAGTAATCAGTAAGGTATAGGATACTTGACCATCTAAAAAGGGAACTTACAAAGGACTTTTGTTCTATTATTAATCCTACCTTTGCGGAAGGTATTGAATTTTTAGCTGTCTTTCCAGTTGCAAGCTCAAAGAATTTATCAAACTTATTTTCTGGTGGTGGCGGTTTAGGTATTGGTTTTGGAAGTGATGAATCTCCTAAGAATAAAAACCATTATCATGAATCTTTAACTTTTATGTCAATCCTTAACTTACCTAGCACAATATTCACCAAACAATATTCCATTAAAGCCATAAACACAAAAACTGTGCATACTGACATGAAAGCATCAACAGCTAATGGAGAAATTCGAAGATAATTTATGTAAATTAAGATTTTTAAGACTTACAAACCTTTCAAGTAAGATACAGGCGGTAAGCTCGCTTGTGATTTTGCATGCTGTGTTGAAAGTGTCAGCAGTGAAGTGACTCCTAATGTAACCCTAGCTGGAGCTGCTTCTGGCTTGATCCAAAATGAAACCCACTAGAAAAATTGATGAGTTTTTGAGTCTTTTTAGTATTAACGACCCTATTTACTACAATTTACCGACATAATGACGATCAAGCATGTTGGAATATATGTATGAAATAAGTAATATCCTAAACGACGTTTTAAGACAAATACAACTTCTAAGCATGTAAAATTACCCGTTGAATAAACCTAAAGATGCATTTATAAGGATATAAGTCTTTATGAGTATAAATGTCAAGTCTACTCACTTGCGTACAATCTGCTGTGTAATTCTTAATTAGTGCCAATTGTGGCAATTCTATATTTTCATCTACAACTAAGGGCACCTCAGGATCCCAATCAAATTTCATATCTTCTGTTGTATGAGATACTGTCAAATGAACATCAATTTATTATTAAGAATCAGTAATGAAAATTACAGTCAAACGTACAACTTTCCATTTGCAATTTACATTCTTGTGTGTCGTGTGGATAAATGACAAAATTCATAGCACATGACAATCTAAGTGTTAATTTAACCATATACAATATCGTTTTATCCTTATAAAGCCACATATAGTGATTTGGTATCGTCATTGTTTGAAATGTCACGGATTTTGCATTCTTAAAAAATGAATCAGGCCTCCACATGTTCTTCAGCCACTCGACTTCAAGTAATCGATATTCTGATGTCATATTTTCCGGAAGTCTTAATCGATGATCTTTCCATGTTTGTGCAAAAAATATATCAGCCGCGTATGTCTGGATTGTTTAAATTTGTATAGAATTGATAGATTTTAATGATTACTGTCTTGATTAAAGGATTTTTTTAAAAGATCCAGGAGCATAAATAAATTAAGCAAAGATTCCATGTGAAAATAATCGTATTTTTAAGACTATACTCAACCTAAATCACATAGCAATAACCAATATAATGATCACTATTGTGTACAAAGGATGTTTATCTCTATTATCGAGTTTAAACTTGAGAAAAATGAGGTCAAAAACAATTTTTTGTTTACATTTTCTTAAATTGTAATCTTTTTTGCATTTCCTTGAATCAATATTAAGGATGGAAACTTATTAATCATAGACTTTGGTGACTTTATCGATTATGTTCACAAAAATCTAACAGTCCACGTGTGTCAAATTACCATTGAAGTTTCGTCAATCGAATCAAGTCCCATGACAGTAACATGAAAGAACACCGTCGTTGCCTGACCATCCTTTTTGGGTGGCCTCATTTTATCATAAGTTTTTGGATCCTCTGGTAAGAGATCATTGAAAGTGAGACTCGTTCTGAAAATAGACAATCAAGAGCATGTAAAATTTAATGATTAACATTAAAGTTGTGTACGATTGCGAATGTGAATGTTAAAAATAGGAAGAAAGAAGGGTGAACGGATGAAAAGCAGTCGAGAATCAATTGAGAAATAGAGCATGTAAGAATAAGAGCGAAAAAGATACTTAAGAAGATTGTGGAACAAGAGTATTTTATATTTACATGTGGGGATGAATGTTGAAATTGCGAGGACGGATATGGAATGGGAAAATTACATTCAACTCACTGATAGTCAGCTTTTGTTTGACTTATAATTGCTGTGATGACAAGAACTATTATAATCATCATTTTGGTGCTGCTTCTCGAAGCTTCCATTGATTTGAAATTTTCATGACACGGTCGCAAAAAGAAATTTATGTCAATCACCAACTTTTTTCTATGTGATACCTTTATATCAGCTCCCATCAAACTGATTTCATTATGATAAACTTAAAACCACTTAAAAAAAATATGCTAGCCTTTGCAGAAAACTTATATTCCACAATTTTCTACTATTATCCTCCATGTGACGTCATTTTATTATTATTAAATTGTCGATGCTGATGATGGATGAAATCGTGTCTAATCGCGTCAATCTCTTCACATTGTTTGAAATGAAGCAATTTTTCTTTTCATTATGTTCGATTCTATTAATTCCTTTTTATTATATATCACTTAATACTATGTTCTATTTATTATTTTTTAGGCTGCTGATTCAAGATTATTATTTCTATTATTAAATCTAAAGGATCATCCAAAATTATTAGAGTAGATTAGTGAAGATGTAGAGACAATTTTACTACTAGCTTAAATTAGCATCAATAAGGGGGAGATCCAATCAGCATAGAATTCACTTAAATTTCAAAACTTTGTGTGACTTTTCAAGTTATTCATCTGCTGTATTATTTATTTCATTGTTAATCTGAGATAGATTTTCATAAAAGAACCTCAAAACTTACTCGTTTGAGTAATTAATATGCTTTTTGAAATATCATCCACTAAAATTTGATTTCCATTTTTGTCACAAAAATATTTCATCAGACCCTTCAATTAGGGTTGCGATACAGGCACATGTGCACAGTTGAGAACCGTACAATTCCATGATAATTTGTGAGGTTTTATAAGAATTTGTATGGTTTTGTTGGAAAAACCTTATAAATTATCAAGGAATTGTACGGTTCTCACATGTGCCTTTATCGCAACCATGCTTTCAATGGCCATTAATCCTTAGTAATTCATAATTTTATTGATTTTTTTAAACAAAAGTGGGTTCTTAATTTCATGTTAAATTGATCAGAGCTTTAAAACTTTAGAATTATTTAATCCAGTAAGAAAGCAATGGGGTCGTTCACTTATTATATAACTTAAATAATTGGATATATTTGTCACAAATTTTCTATGTCTGAACTGTCACAAAATCTCAGACCCTCCAGCTTAAAAATGTTATTTATTAAGTCCCCAATCCTCAATTTGAATTTAAAGCATAAAAAATTTATTTTTACATTTTAAACTTAATTCGTTGAAGTCCCAAAGACTAGAAATATCTTTTGCACAATTTATAGTTCCATATTTAATTTACAATGATCCTTAAGTTAGTCAAAGGAAGAATTCACAAAATTAATTTTTAAACTTAAGCCTCGAATAACACTTTCTTAATCCTTGAAAATTAAACTTTTTAGCACACACTTTAAATCCATAAAAAAAAAGCTCTCTGTACAAATTACATAACGCGAAATTATCCTTTTAATTGCACTTGAAAATGCCTATTGTCTGTATGACAATTAATATTCTACACAATGAAATATAATAATCCAGTATTCAGTTCAACTTTACAGCACAACGGTTAAAAGGAAACTCAAAAAACCTCAAAGACTGTCGATGCCTTAAATAGTCACAAATTGTTGTTGTTGCCATATTATTACCGGGTGGACACAGCCAGTTAAAGTCCATTATTGGACAATCATTTAACAGTCTTTTAACTTGTCGAAATATATACGATATAGAGAACTATACGTTAACTAGACTTTAACTGGACATTCATGCTAATCAATCAAGTGTTCGAAACTCAAAAATAATTTTCCTTACTTTTTTGACCATATACTTCACAAGCGCTTACAGAAATCACTTATATAAGGTCCACCAAAATTTGTATGAAACTTTTAAGTAAATATAAATGTTTCACGCGCAAGTGTTCGAGACTCAATTTTTACTAGAGATTTTTGATAAGTGTTAGTGTACTTTAATTAATTAATTACACTAATACAATAATAAAATTTTACAAATGAAAAAAATATGGAGAAAAATACACGTGTTATTTATTTTATTTTGATTTTTTTGTAACTGGACATTAACTAGACATATTTGCAATTCCTATGTCCAGTTAAATGGAAAGCGCAAAATATGTCATTAGTCGTCCCTAAGTCTAGTTGCAAAGGCACGTCAATGGATACTTACTCGCCGTGAAAAGGCAAGTCAATGGCAAGCTTTTAACTAGTACTTTGTCCACTCGGGATTCACTCATAATAGAGTTATTATGATAGAATGTCATATAAATGGAGGGATACAAATCTCTTGCAATATTATAATGAGGGGAAGGACGAACAGAAGAAAACTTTGCTACCTCTCATTTTTTTTTCCACATACCGATGATGATATCTGTAAATTGAACGAATGGATGTTAAGTGGACCCGAGTTTGGTGTGTTAAGATTTCATTGTTAGTGTGGAGAAGACTGTCTGGATGATGTTGGATGATTCAATTTGGATGCTTTCAATTATTTCGAGAAGGGTTGGTGCATTTGATTGCATTGTAATTTTATTATTGAAAAATTTGGGTGTTGTAAGGTTTTAGAGCACAAAGTTGCTGTTGTAAGGTTTCAAACCATCCCAATTTAAAACATTTATACGGTTTTGAGTTGTAAAATTCAAACATTTAATGACAGTTAAATTATAAATCATGCAAAATACAGCATAAATTAATTTTTCAGTATAAAAAATCTACTGGATCCACAAAAAAATATTCATTCAAAATGCTTAAAAATGTACTCCAACTCCAACAATGTATCTTCACTTAAATCTGTGCAATGGACGGCATTTAATATTTTATCGACTCCAAAATGAGCACGCAGTGTGTTCGGACGAAGTATTTTAGCAACTTCAGGATCTGCAGGTCCGCAGAGGCTTCTAAATTTCAATTGAACATTTTCATCGTTACTTTGAACTTCCATAGCTAAGCATATTCCACTTTGTAGTTGAGTGACCATTAAGGAATAGTCCTCAACAACTCCTTTGTAGATTTCATAGAATGACTCGCATTGTTTACGGCTTAGTGAGATCATTTTCATAGCTGTAATTGAAAATCCATTTTCCATGATCATTTTAATTATTTCACCAATCTTCCCATCTTTAACTGCATGTGGCTTAATGATGCACAAAGTTGTTTTATAGAATTTGGCCTGAACTTTAAGTTGATTATTCAAACGTGGAAAGAAAAATTCAAGGTCATGCTGATTAGAATCAAATTTTTCAGAAATTAAAACACCATTTCTTATATTGTCATATCCATAAAGTGCTCTTAGTGACAATGGCTGATTGCTTTTAGCTTCATCATAATTTGCTGATCCACAAATATTTTTCAACTGCTCGTAAGCATTCTCACCGATTATTTCCATTACAGTGACTAAGCCTGATGTCAAATTCTCCATATTTGCTGTGACACCATCCTCAGATGTCTTATGCTGATTCAAGAACTGAACAGCAGATAATGATTGTAATTTAACAGTCTTTAAGTTTCTTATGTGCAGTTTATGCTTCTCTAGTTTGGAGATTATTTCGCCAATAAAATCCCGTGCTTCTGGCTTAATCATGAAGAAGGTTCTGTAATTAAAGGAATAGAATTCAGTTGAAAAATTAACGGAAATTGAAAGTTTGAAATTCAACGGAAAATGGAAATTTGAATTCGGTATTTTTTTGAAAAAAGTTCGTTATTTTTGGATGTCCTTAAAAATGCCAATAAAGCCAAAACAACAGTACCTTTGCTTCATCTTGCTCATTTTCTGTTCAGTCATTTGATTTCCGTAGTTCCTCACAACAATCTTCTTTCCGTAAATTGTCAACTTAGCTCCGATATAAATGTCATTTAATGAAATCTCAGTTATTGTTCTCTTCAACAAGATTCTTTTCATGCCAATATCATACAGTTCTAAGCTGTTGTCACGTGGATAGAAGTAAAGGTTCAATTTTCTTGTCGTTTCTGCTGTCTCGAAGTCACATGAAAATGTGAAATAATCGACATAATCGTTCTGGAAGTTGACAATTTAATGTATTATTACTTATTATGGCTTAATGAATAGCTTACCATCATTTTTGTAGTCGTTGTTACTTTAAAGCTAGTCAATATAAATTAGAATTCTTAAGATCAAGTTGTTAATTTGAGATCCAGCAAGTCTTTATTTTGAGAGTAAATAAACAATAAACTTGTTCTGTTCAAAGCAAAACACGACTAAATGTGTCTAAAGCAAGCTATTTTGTAGCAATTTTTTTCTGCCTTTATCCTTAGTAACGGACTATTTTCTTGTCTTTTCATGCATGAAATTTCAATTTCAACTTATGTTTTATGCTCTACATCGATGTTTTGTATGCATCAAATAGACAATCTGTTATTACTTATAGATGTTTGCAAGAGGTACAGCATTAATTATGCTTTATTTTACGCAATGAATTATAATTATAAGTTTCTATTTCTTCTTATTATTTTAACGGTTATAATATTTTTGAAAAATAACTGCCATATTTTATTTGAATTTGTTATTTTTTGACATCGCATTGTTTAAATGTGTTTTAAACGTTACTTTTTATAACTTTTAACCAGTTAAGAGCCTGAAAAGAACAGCAAAGGTATCAAGCCAAAGAAGTTTCTTAAAAACGATTTATTCAAAAAAATTGTATTAAATGAAATTTTTTAAACAAAATTATTAATGGGAAAAAAAATGTGTAAATTTGAAGCTATAGTTCGTTAAAAAGTTATTAAGTATGTATGTAAGTGAACAAACTTTTAATAATCTTATCATTTTAAGAAACAAACAAAAACTGGCAAACTTTAAAAAGAATTCTTTAAAAAAAAATTTGAATATAATAAAAAAAGTTTAATTCGTCACTGAATTTGAGCCTTTTGCGCTGCTAGTTCCTGAAGCTTTTGGATGACTTCGGTGAGATCACTTTCACGATTAAGCTTAATAAACATCATATTCCTGATTTCATGAAATGAGATCCAACGAGGCATTTCCTTAGCTAATAGTTTCAATAATTCTTCTAGTTCCTTCATCGATGCACATGCTTTATAGCTATTTTGCATTTTGACCAAGACATTCTCTTGAGGCAATACGCCTTTCTTTTCAGTCACAAAAACATTACGAACATGTCGAGCAAGTTCAGGCAAACGAGAATATTTTGCAGAATCACGCTCTTGTGATGGACGGCGGGTCATTGTGTCTAGTGCCTTTGCTGCTTGCTTAGCACGAATCTTATCTAATAGAGATTGAGGAACGCCTTTTAATAAAGCAGATGTAGTGTCTGGTAATTGCTGCTTTTTCTTTTCATCAATTAATGGACGAGTTGGAGTCGTTGCCAATTGTTTAGCATCAACTTGTTGCTCATTTTGTAATTGCTTGGACTTTTCTTCCTTCTTTTTGGCATCAAGACGTTCTAAAGCTCTTTCCATTGGCGTGCTGCAATTAAACAAGTTTCTAGCCGTACTCAAAATATCTTTAGCTGATGAGAATCTCTCGACATTTGGTGGCAATGGCAATTCACCCTGTTCAATATCAGGAACTGATTCCAGTGGAAAATCTGGATGCCAACGTTTTAAGGCACGTCGTGTAACAGTCATTGGAATGTCCAATGTTTGAAGGAATTTAGCATGTTCTGCGAAAACTAAGTCAGTCAATAAATCAGTCATTTTACGATAACGTTGAATGAGAATTTGTGGGGACAAAATAAGTTCGCTGACTTCCTCATTATCAGATTTAATGTTTGGTATTATAACTAATTGATAATAATCTTGTTTAGACGTCGATCCATAATTTCTAGTCTTTTCTTGAGCATATTTAAAGGCATTTGGCATCAACTTTTGGATTTGTGCGAGATGAGTCTCAAAGAAGTTCTTCCTTAAAATCCGCTGAACAGCAGGTTTCATTTTCTTGAACGTAATTTTCTCTTTACGATTAAAGAACATTGCACAGACTGTATCGACCGCTTTGAATACTTCCAATAAGTAACGATATTTAAATGGCAATTGTAAAGAAGGTGCTCCTACTTCAGTTAAATTCTGGAAGCGCTCATAAGCTGGTGCTTTAATTGGTGATTTTGTTGGACTAAACAACAATTTCTTTGGAGTCAAGAGCTTTGGTGACCCAATTAGCATATTTTTCATTGGAGAATCCTTCAACTTGATCGGTGAAGTAAAGCCTTTCTTTGGACTGGGAAGAAAAATTTAATTAACAATTAAATAAGCTACGAAAAACAGAGAAAGAAGCTAGTATATTAAGTACCTTAAAATCTCTAATTCAATGTTCTTAAAAGGCTTCAATGACTTTGCTTCGCCTTCACGCGACTGGATCTTGTCTTTGGATGATTTAGTCATCTCCTTTCTCTTCAGTTCCATTTGATCCAACTTGTCAAATCCATTCCTAAGTTTGTTAAGTGATGTCTTGAGTTCAGTCAATTTGGCACTTGCACGAAGTTTTTTCTTTATTTCGTCAGTATTTAAGGTATTTGTTGATATCATCATAGTCTTTTCTACACGATTAACTTCTGTGGTCAAGATGGGTTTCTTTGTTGGAGTTTGCATGCCATGATTCTGTTCATTATCTGATTTTGTCGTGTTTATAGTCTCTTTTGGTGTCTCAATTGGAGCAAGTTGCTTCTTGGATTTCTTCTGAGGTGACATACTTCCACCCAGAAAGAAATTAACAACTTTTGGTGCCTCAATTCCATCAACATTTTGCATCTGAACTCGTCTACTGGATCTTTTTCGTTGCGGTGTAATTCCTTGCCGTACAGACGAAAGTCCAGTGATTTTCGTAATTTTATCATCCTTAATGTCGCCATTGAGTAGCTTAGAAGATGATGGATAAACAATTTTATTAGAATTCTCTTCGGCATCATTTAATTCACATGATGCTGGATTTCTTTCAAGACAAATTACTTTTTTCTTACTAGCTACAATATCATCTTCAAGATTACGCTTTCTCGTGATGAAATATGAAGATATCGATGATTGAGACATTATTGGTGCTTTATTATGTCTCTAACTTAACTAAATTAAGAGTAAAATGATTAATTATGATTTGTTGAATTTCCGTTTTATTGTTGTTGTAATTCAAAATCGCGGGAAACTAAATGTGCAGGGATAGAAGCTTTGCTTCTTCATGTAACGGAATTTTTGAATAAAAAGTGACGTGCCCCATTACAGGGATTTGAAACTTTCAAGGATCGCGACACATAATAAAAGAACCACTGATATTTACAAAACAAAACATAAACACGCTGAAATATTTAAAAAATTATTAATTACAGTATAAAGAAGCAAATAAGCATCAGAAATGGTCCGTAAACTCAAGCATCATGAACAGAAGCTATTGAAGAAGGTAGATTTCCTTAATTGGAATGCTGATAACAATTTACATGAAATTAAAGTGATGAGAAAGTTTCATTTACAAAAAAGAGAAGATTATACAACGTAAGTTACTATAATTAATGCTAATTTACATATTCTAATGATAATCTATTATAGATACAATGCATTGTCAAGAAAGATCAGAACATTGGCAGAAAAAATTGCAGCAGTTGATGCCAAACATCCATTTAGAACAGAAAGTAGTGGATTATTGCTTGAAAAGCTATATATTCTCGGTTTGATTCCAACAAAATGGGATTTAGAGCATGCAAGTAAAATCTCAGCTAGTTCATTCTGTAGACGAAGACTTCCAGTTGTTATGGTTCGAAATAAAATGTCAGAGAATATCAAAAATGCATCAAAACTTGTTGAGCACGGACATGTAAGAATTGGAACTGAAGTTATCAAAGATCCAGCATTCTTAATTACACGAACTATGGAGGACTTCTTGACATGGAGTGATAGCAGCAAGATTCGTCAACATGTATTGGATTATAATGATGACCGAGATGATTTTGAATTACTTTAAACTTTTTAAATAAAAATATATATTTTAAGCTGAAGAATTAACGAGTTTTTTAATTTTAAAATAAACCGAGTAAAAAGGAATTTTCATAGTTGAGTACCCCTTAGTTGAAAAGTTAAAGAGAAATGTTTAATTAAAGAATTCAGTGTGTTAGGAGAGCTGAAAAAATATAAACTGTAGCTAAATATATAATAGAGACATTAAAGTTATTGAAATAAGTGTGATATAGATTTTTTGCACCAGAAAAGTCGATAAAATTAAAGAAATATTGAAATAATATTTTTACTTGTTTTTCTTGGAAATTCTCAAAAGTGTGTGTAGGTGTGTAAAAAACATACAGTATAAAAAGTTATATTTTTAAATAAAAAGTAATAAATATACTATTGCAATTTATCGGAAAGTCTTTTGAACTAATTAATTCCACAAAGTGAATTATCAGTAATTTATAGGTAAGTAGTATAAGTCACTAGCTATTTTTAATAGCTCGAATTTTGGTCTGAAATGAAGAACGTCATTTTCTATGGAAATACAAATTCCGAGAAAAAGAAGAGAAAGAAAAAATATAAAAAAAATACATATAGTTTTGCGAATAGGAATAAACATCTTTTTCGAGTTTTTAAGGCAGTATTTTTTGCGTAAAAACTTATTTCTGTATCTGTTATCGAGTTTATTTGCATTTTTGAATCTATTATTTATCGAAATGAATAAGTGAACAAGGCTGAAAATCAATGAATTCGAGTGCAGTTTGTTTGTGCTGGATGATGGGAATCAAATTTCCGAGAAAAATTGTTTATAAACCGACTTTTTGAGAATGTAGTCAAGTTAATTATTAAAGGGTCATTGGTTCGAATTCTTTGGTTGTTCTCGATATGAAGCTTATTGGAGCACAAATATTGTTGAAATATAGAACTGCCAGCAAATTGAAATTAACCGAATCGAATGATTTACTCATATACAGAACAAAGGATTAAAAGAGCTTAGTGAATTAAAATGAACAGAACAATAGGGATTAAAAATGGCATAATAATGCTAATAGAACGCAACAAAAGATTTCTTCAGTCATAAATTATACATACTGTGAAATGCATGTTGAAAGTCTAGTTGCTAAGTATTAATTCATGTGCCGGATGCTCAAAAGAATTTTTTAATATTTTGATGTGTGGTTGAAATTTCTTTGCTTTTGAAGTTAATCAAAAAATTGATGGTTGGTCAAAAGAACATTTTAAAATTAATTGCATAAGCTCAAAATTACTTATTTCAAAATATCCAAAGAAATTAAATTTGACTGTTGCCTTCGTAATTATTGCTCTAAAAGATCGATCATCCTTAATTATATATAGCCTGACACCATATGTTGGATTTTTCAAATTAAATCCACCGGTTTCTGTTTTCATGATTATTATTTTATGTCTAAATTAACATGCTTATCATCATTTCAACATACGTGAATCTGTGGTTAAAATACATGCTAAGGATATATGGGAACAATAACAAGTTCTTCAATAATCCAGTATATCACATAATATACATCAATCATTAAATCAATAATGAATTATTAAAACACATGTGGATGTCCTTAAAAAAACGTCCAACAAGCAATATTTTAGATTCTAGATTGACACAAAATGAACAATTTTTTTTCTCTCTCATTCCAGAACTATTCGTAAATATGAAAAGTGTTGTGATAGTTTTGTTGAAAATGTTGGAAAGATGAAATATAGTGCAAAAATGTTATAGTCCTTCGGACATTCATCGAAAACTTTTGGTGCATAGACACGTTAATAGAGAGATTATTGTGTATTTAAAGAAATTTTATCACAACGAATTATACATATAGAGTAGATATATACATCTGTAAACATGGACGAATGTCGAAAAAGAACACAAAATGACCATCATCATCATTTTGAGTCTCACGGGTAAGTGAACATATTTTTTGTACTACCTATTTTTATCTACTTGAAAATAAATAAAAAAACTGATGCTTAGCTTCTGCTATGATGCAATAAATGCATAAGAATATTATTCCTATAAATCTATTGAATATTAATAAAAAACATAACTGAATGAAATTGCCACATTGTGCATAAAAAGAAGCTGAAAAAAGAGAAATGATATGAAAAACAAACTTTTGCACTTAATAAAATTTCGAATGTCCTACAGGATATGCTGCGAAAAATATCAAATCTGTTCTAACTTTGCATGTTTGCGCAAATCTTTTCCCGTGGTTGCTATACTAATTCAGTCATTAAAAAAGTACACAAATACACCAAACATGCACGTTTATACAAAATAATCCAAAGGCTATAAAAATAGACATAAATAATAAAATATTAATTTTATTTATGTCCATCTCTTCACGTTTCGATTAAAAACGGCGATATTTGGAAATATTATGTCTTTGCGCTATGATGAGATTTAGCATTTTACACGCCTAGTACGTCATAGCCTGATTGGAATAACATGTTCATCTCAAATACGAAATATAAATTGTTTTGATAATAAAGTGTATGGAATAAAGTAATCACCGGATTCTGTGGGTCATAAAATTGAATCTCATGATCTGGAGCTTTATTTTTCTCCGAAAAGACATGATTGATAATGTCATGCACATTTATACGCTTTGAATATCCACAAACTTCAATTTCATTCTTAAATGAAGACATGGGTAACTTTTTGATGGAACTTAATCCTGATTTGTATTTCAAAACAATTTTCAATCTGCCTTAGGAAATTTAAATGTTTAAGGATCTCATGTCTTGTAATGATTCTTCATTCACTTATGATGTCTATGATATGTCGGGAGTTTTGGAGTTTTGAGACAAGGTGGTCTGAATTTCTCATTTTTTGATCGATGTCATAAGTTGAGTTTTGAAAAAGAATTACAACTTCAGATCACATTGGGAATGTTGGCAGGATTATTTCGAGGTAATTCATTCACATTTAAACATTGGGAGGGGTGATTAGGGTAAGTTAAATCGTTTTTTATAGACGTCATTTATGAACAGCCCTTAAATTTATCTTGACATTTCTAAAACGTTTTAAATCCTTAATCCAAAATGAATAATGAAACAAACATAAAACTGAACATTTCATGTAATATCTACTGAAACCTGTTGCGCATTTCTGAACCAAAACAATAGAGTCTATGGACATGCTATATATGCAATGCTAGCTATTCGTTAAAAAAATCAATGAAATTTTCTTCACTGACTTCAATAAACATTTTGTATTAGAATGAATTGCATTCCATGAATGAAAGTAGTTTCGGAGAAATAGTGAACCGAACGTCTAGTGTGGCTTCCGTTCCGCATATCACGTTTCCACGATGAGCTGTTCATTCTATTCCAAAAAACAAAAGAACTTGCTTTTAATTTACATCAAAAAAAAAAATATGTTTTGTAATCTCATCTAATTATTCAATCAGGCTACTTCCAAATATACTAATTATTAAGTAAATACAATATCTTTTTTTTTCTCATTCGTTTTGAATGAAACAACACGCATTTCAAATAATAAAAAAATATTTTTTCATACATGTCTTCGGCCACGATATATTTTGTTTTTTTCTCGGAATTCTATAAAGGCGAAAATATAACTGTGGGGAATATAAACAGCGATATCATTAACGTTTTCGAAAGAAGACAAAAATTAATTTTTTATTTTCATCGAATTTGTGTGCTTTACTGGTCATTTTGACTGACTGACTGGCTTCATTTTAACTGTGTACGGCTTTGAATTGTCGATTTGTTTGTTATTACTATTGCTTTTGACAGTCGCTTAGTTTATATCGTGCTTGATTTGAAATCGTATGGAAATTTTAAATGTCTGTTGCTTTTTAATTCAATTTAAGCTTGCATGCTTGAGGTGGAGTCAAATTGCAATCGTATGCAACCCCATTTAATATTATAATACTTGAGAAATGACGGGATTATAAAAAGTTCCAGCTATACGTGGAATTGTAGACGAGAAGGTTATGAAGATTGCTCGTCTTATAACGTACGATTTTCTTGGGAAATTTTTGTTTATTTAAATGAAAAAATGTGGTTTGAATTCTTAAATATGATAATTTCAGACGTCCTTTACATTTGAGATTAACAGCTCGTATCGAAAAGAATTGAACCCACTTTCTCACAAACGACAATTGCTTAACCACTCTGTATCTTACGTTATTAAAGACGAACATCATTTATTAATAACGATCTAGGTTCTTGCAATTTACATTTTAAACCTATAAAATAATACTTAAAGGAATTGGAGTTTTTACTGCTCTTTCAATTAAAAAAATTCAAAAATGCGCATTTAACACTATAGTGTTAATTTATAGCCATGACTTTTGGTGCTAGTCTTTTTAATACGGGGAAATTGTTTCGTTCAAAAAAAAATATGTGATTCAGTTCATTCAGTATATTTTTTTATAGCGCTTCTTATTTCTTATTTTTTGATTGCTAATAATTTATAATTTGACTTTATTGTGTATGTACATTAAAGGTTCTAAGAAGTAACATATGCTTCTTATTTTCTTAAGAAAACTAAGAGTTTCATTGGAAACATTCTTTTAAAACATATATTTATTTACTTTGTTCTTCTATTATTTCTTCTCTTGCTTATGTCCTGTTTATACTTTTACATGACAAAACACATTTCAATTCCAGTTACACATTTTATGAGATTTATTTAGGCTCATTTTTCATTCCTTCATTGAGATTCTGGTCTATGCAGAATGTTATTACTAAATTACGCAATCGGACTTTCTCGGAAATTTCTTTACACGAGACCTGATGTTCTGTAGGCGGATATTCATAAATACTCTTTCATTTGAAGTAAATTAAATTGAAAAATGCCAGATTTTTTTTAACAGTATGCAATTTTGAATATAAATTCATTGAGAAATAGTTGTGGGAATATAAATGGGCATTTTTGAACATTAAGTGAAGAGTTTTTAAACAGAATTCAATATTGCATGACGTTATGGCTGTTTTAACAAACTTCAGTTGAAAATG